GTCATGGGGGATTCGAAGAAGATGTAAAAATCCTGGCTGTAGTCTGTAAGGCTGCTTTGTCCAGCTGTTTTGAATGTAGGATCACCTGGTACTCTGTTTCAGGTGGTCTGGCTTGATCACACTACATTAGTCTGGAAGGAATCCACTTCTTTTCATTTTCTGTGGAAACAAAAATAGAAATCCTTTTCCCCAGTAACTTGTCCTTGAACTTAAATTTTGGTGTCAAAGCATTTTTTTTTTTTTATTTAATTTGTTATTTTACATGTCGATCCCAGTTCCCTCTCCCTCTCTTCTCACTCCCTTCCTCCCTCCTTCCCTCCCTTTTACCCTCTCTGCCCTCTCACATGAACGCTAACCACCCTCCCCTCCCATCCCCCCACCCCAATTCCATATATAGGGGAATGCCATCCAGTTGGGGTCATGTAGATCTGACAGGTCATGTGAAGTAGGGACTAGGTCTTCTCTCCTGTCTCTAGAAGAAGCACTCCTCCACTGCTGGTGGGAGTGCAAACTCATACAGACATTTTGGAGATCAGAATGGCGGTTCCTCAGGAAAATGGGAATTAGTTTACCACAGGACCCGGCAATCCCCCTCTTAGGCATATACCCACATCCATGCAACAAAGACATATGTTCAACTATGTTCATAGCAGCACTATTTGTAATAGCAAGAACCTAGATGCCCCTCAATTGAAGAATGGTGAAGATGTGGCACATCTACACAATGGAATACTATTCTGCAGAAAAAAATAATGGTATCTTGAAATTCGCAGGCAGGTGGATGGCACTTGAAGAAACCATCCTGAATGAGGTAACCCAGTCACAAAAAGAGGAACACAGTATGTACTTACTCATATATGGATTTTAGACCTAGATCAAAGGATCACCAGCCTATAATTCACACCACCAGAGGAACTAGGATACAAGGTGTATTCTAAGAGATTCATATAAAGTCCCTCATAGAACCAGGAAGGGACAAGTCCCCCAGAGCACAGGGGAAGTGGGGGGGGCAGCAAATGGAGAGAGAAATAGGAGAAAACGAGGGGGAGGAAAGGAAAACACATGTGACCAGGAAGATTGAGCCCGGTTAGGAATAGAAGACAGGAGAGAGAGAGAGAGAGAGAGAACATAAAAGAGGGAGCCAATATTGGTTTGAAGATAAAATTGAAGACAAAGAAAGGTCTAGAGAACTACAAGACTGCTGCCAACTAACAATTTGAGCTTCCGTGGAAAGGCTACCATAAATGCCCTTCCTGAAGAGTGAGATCAACAACTAACTTATCCATGGAGCCCTCAACTAATGCCTGATGGAAACAGGAGCAAACACCCATACATAAACACTGAGTCGAAGTAGAACCCAGATGCAGTTGGAGAGGACAAGACCAGGCGGCAGAAACACATAGAGACAGCTTACCTGAACAAGGAGGAGCTAAATGGGCCACCAGACTGATAGCTGGGAAGCCAGCATGGGACCGACTCAGGCCCCCTGAATATGGGTCTCAGCCAGAAGGACTGAGCAGTCTAAGAGACCTGAGACAGTGGAGCCAGGATGTATCCCTGGTGCACAAAAGGACCTTGCGAACACATCCCCCATGGAGGGATAACTGCCTTAATCTAGAGACCATGGCAACTCTTATAAAGGAAAACATTTAATTGAGGTTGTGGCTTACAGTTTCAGAGGTTGAGTCCATCATCATCATAGCAGGGATCATCGTGGCTTGCAGGTACACACAGTGCTGGAGAAGGAGCTGCTACATGTTGATATTCAGGCAACAGGAAGTAGACTGTGTCACTGGACATGACTTGAGCATATGTGAACCCTCAACGTTTGCCTCCACAGTGATATACTTGACCCATAATAACACTCCTATCCCAACAAAGCAACATTCTCTTTGGGGGACATTTTCTTTCAAACCACTTATAACAGGTATGGCTATAGATGCTGGTCATACCCTCAGGTAGTCATTCAGGAATCCTGTTGAGAATGATGCTCCTTCCTGGGATGTTATTTTTGGTGTCTGGCGCGTTGTTTGGACCCTGTGTCTTTGTCACCCTGCAGGCTCTATCTCTGGCTGGATTCCCTTCATTGAGCTGTGTTCTTTTAAAAGATTTATATTTTATTTTATGTAGATGAGTTCTGCCTGTGTGTGTGCCTGCATGTATATATATCTGCACACCATGTGCATTAAGTGCCTGCAGAAACCAGAGGAGGGCATTGGATCTCCTGGAACTGGAGCTGCAGACTGTTGTGAGCTGTCATGAGTGTTCTGAAAGTGAACTTCGGATCCCTGGAAGAGCAGCCACTTCTCGTAACCACTGAGCCATCATCTCTCCAGCCTGAGCTGTGGACTTTTGGTCCCCTGTTTCTGCTCCTCAATCTAGAAGTATTCTCTTGGCCAGGATTCAGAGTCTAGCCCCATAACATTTACTCAAAGTGTCCTGGGATGTGATTCACTGAGGGTCTGAGCACTGAGCTACTGAAGCTAGGGCTCTTTTTAAATCAGGGTCTTGCTGATGCTCAAGGTAAATGCTGAGCGTTGAGGGTTTTCCTGGGATATCCCTTCTTCCTCTGCTGTTGTCATGTACAACTTGTGTTCTCTCCTTTCTTTTTCTTTTTTTCTCTTTAAGATAGCTGTTACTGAGAGCACAGTGTCTATTGTCTTTTTGTCTTAAACATAACTCCAGTTACCTCTCTGAGGAGGGAGCTTCCCAGACCACACTAATGCCTCTGGGATAGACTGTGGTTTTTTTTTGTTTGTTTGTTTGTTTGTTTGTTTTGTTTTGCTATTGTACTAGAGATTTCCAGCCTTCACTTTACTCTTCTCATAGCTGTTAAACATTTTTCTCCAGTTTATTCCCTGGAGATTCTAGCCAGCTGCTTTCTAGGTAGTCACTTTTTCTGTGTATGTGCTTTCAAGAATGTTTCTTCCGTTTCCTAGCCCTCCCTTTCCCCTTCTATCTCTCCATACCATTTATGGTTCCAGGGATAGAGCCCAGTGCCACCCAAGTGCTAGGTAAACAATTGACTGAGATTCAGCCCTGTCCTCAGTTTACATTCTATGCTGAGTGTTTGTCATGTCTGTCTCTAGGTCAATCAGTAACTCTTTCTGTGTTGAGATTGTGATGTGATTTTTCTCTGTATCCTTAGCACCTGGTGTAGCACCTGTCACTGAGTAGCTGATCCTCTGGTGAGTGAGTAAATAATAAGGTGTTGGTGCAGCAGATGGAGTAGATTGCAGATGAGCATGTCAATGGGAGAAATAAAAAAAAAATCATAAATTAGTTTACAAACTCTTGATTTTTAAAAAAAACAAAGTATATTGGGTAACATTTTCTTTTGGCTGTAAATCTATGATCATAGCTCCATTTTCTTCAGGAGAATTTAAATTTCATCAGCAAAACTCATTAATCCATATTTTAAATATTTATTTATTTAATTAGTTTGCATGGGGTGGTAGTACCTGTGTAAAATTCAAAATACAACTCATGCGAGTTGTTTCTCTTCTTATATCTTTTAAGTCCTGGGGTTAGAACTCAGGGCATCAGGTGAGGCAGCAAATTCCTTTACCTGCTGAGCTATCTTGTGGTTCAGTCAGTGCTTCTAAAATATATATATTTTATTGTATGTAAAGTTGTAAAGTTTGCCTCAACACAATAAAAAACAGGGTCTGGAGAATTTGGCTCAGTGGCTAAGAGTACATTTTGTATAGAGGTCCTGGGTTTGAGTCCCAGCATCCATATAGTAACTCATAATCATCTAAAAATCCAGTTCCAGGGGATCTGACACCAGGAACTCATGTGATGCACATAAAAGAGTCATATACATAAAATAAAATAATCTTAAAAAATAAACATTACGAGAGGAAGATTAAAATCATTTAAATGGTATTATGACTGAATAAGTGGTTGTTTTTACAATTGAAATACTAATCAGTAAATGAGCTGGTCTCTGCAGACTCAGCTTCTTTCCAGGACGTTTTGTTCACACTATGCATAGTATTTTCTGTACACTGTGTTTTATGTTATGATATATAAATGCATACAAAACATTAATTTCTATAAAATATGTACTTATTCTTTACTTAACTTAGGCCAAAAAATAAAGATTGGTTTTGTTAGGCAATAGAACCTATTATCGTCTCCAAAAATTTCACTCTGTTCTCAATATGTTGTAGTCAGCCTCAAGGTTTTCCATTTTTTATTTTATTTTTCTGAAACAAGGTTTCTCTGTGTAGCTTTGGAGCCTGTCCTGGAACTCCCTCTGTAGACCAGGCAGGGGCCATGCTAATCATCTCTGTGTTGTTCCAGTTTTAGTATATGCTGCTGAAGTGAACACTCCATTACTCTTTAATGATCCTGAAGCTCTCTAGTTGGCTCGCAAATCTCTAGTCTAATTTGATCCTGTCTTTCCCAGCTTTCATGACAACAGTCCTTTATCAACAAGCTCCTTAGCACATCACTTGGAATATCCTACAAGGTACCTAATAGACTCCTGAACCTGCCTTTCATGGATGCTATAAAGTGGTCACACTTCTCTTCCCAACTGAATTCCACACAGCATAGCTACCACATGCATAAAGCTTCTTCCTCCCTTATTTAAGCATGTGTTACACAGGGAATGACACTACTTGAAAAGGATTGGGAGGCAGTGTGTCATTGGGGGTGGGCTTTGGTGTTTCAAAAGCTCATGCCAGGACCAGTGGCCCTCTGTCTTCCTGCTGCCTGCAGATCCAGATGTAGAACCCTCAGCTCCTTCTCCAGCACCATGGCTGCCTTTGTGCTGCCATGCTCCCTATCATGATGATAATGGCCTCTGAAACTGTAAGTCCTAATCAAATGCTTTGTTTTGTAAGAGTTTGCCACACCCTGATGACTCAGCATTCAAATATGTGAGCCTATGGGGGCCAATCTTACTCAAACCACCATAGCTGTTGTTTTCATACTTGTGATTACCAGCAAAATATGATGCCTTTCTTTGTCCTTATTTTTGTGTTTCTTAGGTTCCAATATAGTTGCCAATTTTATACTTCAGGACTTACTGGCATATGTGTCTTCAAAACATTCCTATCTCAAAGATTTACCTCAGAGGCAGCATCAGAAAATGAACACTGTAGAGTTTGTGGAACTGCAACAGCTACAGCCTGATACATTAGTCCATGCAGTACTCAGAGTAGTGGATATCACTGTGTTGACAGGTAAGTATTGAGTGCCTCTTTAGTTTTAGCTTATAAAAATTATATAAGACCATCTTAGTGCATTAATCACCACAGTATATTTATCATGAGATGCTATGTTGTCATCCAAGCAAGGTAATACCAATTAGAATGTTCCTTTCTCCTTTTCAGAGTCACTATATAGTTATAGAGGACAGAAGCAAAGGAAAATTCTGTTAACTGTGGAACAGGTTCAAGGTCAGCATTATGTGCTTGTATTATGGGGTCCTGGAGCAGCCTGGTATACTCAGCTTCAAAGGAAAAAAGGTAAATACACTGGGGAAAAAGCATTTAACCTATTTATACCTTGGTAAATGATTAATGTTTATTTGTCTGAGGTGCAGAGTCTTTGAAGAGATTATAGCATTTGAAATATAGTGACTAAATGTGCCTCTGCAAATTTCTCTTGCTGTAACTTCATACTTATAGCAAATAAGTTATCTAGAAGTCTTTTGTAATTACTTTATCTCCTTCAAATAATGTTCTTTTTTTAAAACAAACAAACAAAAAAAACCCCCAAGATTTTCTTATTTTTTTAATTGCATGTGTATATCTTTCTGTCTGTCTGTCTTTCTGTCTGTCTGTCTGTCTGTCTGTCTGTCTGGTCATTTGCATGTCAGAGCAGGTGCCACTGGAGTCCAGAAAAAAAGGCATCTGATTCCCTAGAGTTGGAGTTACAGCTGCCTAATGTGGTTGTTGGTAACATTTGTTCTTTTGCAATTGCAATGCATGCTTTTAATTGCTGAGCCATCTTTGTAGCTCCTTAGAGATGTTCTTTAAAAATTTAATTCTGGCTGGGTGGTGGCACTCACGGTGGCGCACACCTTTAGTCCCAGCACTCCAGAGGCAGGCTGATCTCTGTGAGTTCAAGGTCAGCCTGGTCTACAGAGCTAGTTCTAGGATAGGCTTCAAAGTAATACAGAGAAATCCTGTCTCAAACAAAAACAAAACAAAACAAATTAATTCTGGAAACGTGTCTGCAGTTTGATTTTTTTTTTCAGCCAGAGTGCTCATAAAGACAAATTCCTCTCTGTCAGAAGGCAAATGTTAGGGGAATTACATAAAGTCTTTTAAGTCACAATTCCTATTGAATTAATTACTTCCTGTGTTTTGGGCTTTTATTCCAGGTAAAAATGTGAGCTCTTAGACATTATAGAATACTTGCTTAAAAGTATGACCCAGTACTACATTGTTTAAAAGCACAAGTTAATAATTCATGGGACATTAAATTAAAAGGGATGTTTTAAAAATTAGTGCAGTATCTTCCTTCACTGCTGAGAAATTCTGATTTTAACTATCAAAGAGTTTAGTGTTTTTTTAAAATTACCTTACTTTGCAAAATAATTAGACATTGATCACCTGATTTATATTTTGTACTTGGATAAGTTAGTCTTGCATTCCAAACTTAGACATCAAATGCTTATCTGGAGGATAGGATCTGTCACACAGTCTCTTAATCATTAATAGCCGGCAACTAGAGTTTGAGATAAGCCTGACTTTTATGTTAGGATCAAACAGGGACAGATGTTTGTCCGCTTGTGAAATTTGACAAACATGTATCGATGACAGACATGATCACTGACCATTCTGTCTCAGCTGTGAACACGAGTCCTGTGCATGCTAAGCAAAATGTAGGTCAGAGGTAGATTGGTGTTGGAGCAAAACACCGCTCCTTTCTTAATGTGTCTGGTGTTAAAGTTAAGAATTTTGTGGTAAGAAGAGGAATTATATAGATAGTTCTATGGCTTCTTAGTAAATACTGAAAACTTATAAATCCAGGAATTATGATATAAATTGTTTTTGCTGAATTCACTAATTACACCTACATTTATCTATCTCATCACTTTAAAGTTTCAACATCTGCTTCAATACCTCAAGACAATTCCTTTTAATAGAAAAATTACAATTTTGAAGAATCATTTAAGTAACTGATTGTACTTTCAGAAACTATTAATTTTCTTTTTATTCCTTTAGCAGTTCTTGAGGCCATCTCCATATAAGTCTCTATACAAGGCACTGGCTTTCACATATTTCTAAAGAGAACAAATTTAGCTCATATAATCAGAAATAATCATCAAGTAGTTATTATTCAGTACTAACAATAATGGAATTGATGTTTTGGGGAAGAATATTTAGAAATTTCAATTTTACATTCCTTTGAAATATGCATTGCTAGTAGGAAGCTAGCATGCTTTGTATGCCCCTCATATTGGTCACAGATTAGATTCTAAGGAGGGCACACTAGCAGCAAAAATTGTGTTTCTTAAGTGTGATGGGACTGTGCCTAGTGGTGCATGCTTGTAACTTTAGCACATGGGTGACAGAGGCACAAGGATCAGGGGTCCTAGGCTATATTTGACTACATAGGTATTTTGAGGCCAGCCTGGACTAAGTGAGACCCTGTCACAAGCAAACAAAAGAATAGTTAGTTAAGCATAAAATAATCTATACAGAATCAAATGCCATTTTCATGCAGTTGTTTTAAGAAGCAGTTACCATTTCAAATGCATAACAAATTATGAAATAGTACTCTTGTAACATAGCTAATTAAACAGTTATGCAAATAACCCAATTTATGATTGTATATTATCCAAAGTCACAGTTATGTCTGTGTGAACATTTTTAATCCAGTTATATCCTAAATCCACAGTTCAGATGTGGAAATACATCACAGTTTGTCTACAATAACGTCCTCAAGTTTGGCATAACTGATAAAGCAATTTAGCTGTCTTACTTAGGTAACTTCTCTAGAATCATGAAAAGACACAATAGCACTTATTCAAATAACCTCTGTAAGAACTGATTTTTGTTGTTATCGAGACAGGGACTAGCACAGGCTAACCTCCAACTTACTAAGTAGTTGAGAATGACACTGAATTTCTGATCTTCCTGTCTTCACTTTTCACGTGGCTAGCATTATAGGTGTGCATCATCATGCTCAGTTTATGCAGTGCTGGGGATCAGACCCAGAGTCTTAGGCATGCTGGACACTCTTCAAACAGCTCAACAGTTCTAATTTTAAAACAACAGCAGTATAGACTTTATTTTCAAATAATTATGTTCTCTATTGTAAATTATACTAAAGCAGGAGGTGGGGACAGCTAAGAGGAATGGATGGAGGAGAAATGATTGGGATGTAAAAAATTAAAGAAAATGATAATATAATATCAAATTGTTGATGTTACTGTTGGAATCATAGGTAATGTAGAATATCTGTAATGTAATATATGTAATTAGCATATAAGGGTAGTCAGTATACTTTTGACCAATAGAAAAGCTTGTAGAATGTTTAAGATAACCTAAAGGAAAGATGTGATGGCTAATCTTCTTTGAACTTCACACTCTGGGAAGACACAATCTCAACTGAAGAATTGACCCATTTGATTGGTCTATGGGCAATCTCTTGATTGCTAATTGATTTAGAAGAACCTACTCCTGTGAAAGGCACTATTCCTAAATGTGTTGGCCTGTTCTGTATAGGAAACCTGGGAGCAATTCTGTAAACCGTGGTCTCCCATTGGTTTCTGTTTCATACTCCTGCCTTGAATTTTTGCCTTTACTTCCTTTAATGATGGATTATATTTTGCAAAGTAAAATACACCCCTCTCCGCATTATACCAAAGGAAAAGGAGATTTCTCAGCACTGATAACCAGTTATAGGCTGGTAGAGGACCTAGGTTCAGTTCCCAGCACCCATCTAATAATATTTATCTAATGATGCTATCTATATAGATTTGTTGACTTACTTGTCAATTCTGAATAACAAAAATCAGTCCTTTTTTGTTTTTTGTTTGTTTGTTTGTTTTTGTTTTTTTCTTTTTCAAGACAGGATTTCTCTGTGTAGCTTTGGAGCCTATCCTGACACTTGCTCTGTAGACCAGGCTGGCCTCGAACTCACAGAGATCCATCTGTCTGCCTCCCGAGTGCTGGTACTAAAGATGTGCGCGCCTCCACCGCCCGGCCAAAAATCAGTTCTTACTGAGGGAATTAGAATACATCCATTTCAATGTTCTTAAAAAACAAAACAAAACAAAACAAAACAAAACTTGTTGTTGTTGAGATGGCTCAGGGATTAAGAGCACTGGCTGCTCATCCAGAGGTCCTGAGTTCAATTCCCAGCAACCACACGGTGCCTTACAACCATCTATAGTGGGATCTGATGTCCTCTGCTGGCAAGCAGAGCTCTTATACATAAAATATAAACAAACAGACAAACTAACTAAACAATAACAAAAAACTAGTTTCTAAAAACCATATATCTCAAAATGAGAATGTGCTATACTAAAAGGCAGTTGTTTAGGGGTTTAAGAAATCATTAGAAAAGATTATTAAAATGGTATCTAGTCAGGTGTGGTGGTGCATATATGTAGTTAGAGGCAGAGGAATAAGAATTCAAAACAAGTTGTGGACGCTATAGGGAGACACTCAAAAAAAAAAAAAAGTCTGTAGTTTTTAAATTCAATTGCTTTAATTTGTATCTGGTCGGTTTGGCCCAAATTCTTTAGTGATAGAAGCTGTGTTTAGCTGATTTAGTTAGGTTAGTTTACTTAATCTGATTCTGAGCAGGGACACTTTTATTTTGGTGACTTTTTGTTTGTTTTTATTGAAGATTGTATTTGGGAATTTAAATACCTTTTTGTTCAATGCAACTGCATACTGGAAAACTTAGAGCTGCATACAACACTTTGGTCATCCTGTGAATGCCTGTTTGATGATGATAAAAGAGCAATTTCATTTAAAGCAAAATTTCAAAAAAATACATCATCCTATGTGAAGACATCAGACTTAGCAACTCACCTAAAGGATAAATATTCAGGTATGATCTTTATATACATAAAAATGTTTATAGTTTTAGTATCAGGAAAGAGGCTACCATTTGTGAGAATATATATAATTAAATATGAAAGGGAAATGTAGCAAGGCAGTGGTGGCATACACCTTTAATCCCAGCACCCTGGAGGCAGAGGCAGGTGGATCTCTGAGTTCAAGACCAGCCTGGTCTACAGAGCAAGTTTCAGAACAACCAGGACTACACAGAGAAACTCTGTCTTGAAAAGCCAAAAAGAATTTTTTTGCATCTTCTTAGAATCCCCCATGACAGTGCCTCTTACCAGCAGGAAGTAGATTGGAAAGAATGACGTCCAAATTCCCAAATATTGTCTATAAATGTTTGTTTTCATTTAAATGGACTTGGTTATAAAAAATAAATAAATAAATAAAAAGCAAAACAGAAAAATAATTAAATTTCATGTAACAAAAAAAAGAAAAAGAAAAAAAAAGAAAAGAAATGAAATGTAGATCTCTACAAATAGCTGAAACCAATTTTGATTTTTCAGCCTTCTGCCTCTAACTCTGTGAGTTTTTCTTTCTTTAGTATTAAGGATCAACTATTTTTTTCATGTATAATAATGCTTTTGTCTTTAAACAGGATCTCATTATATAGCTTAGCCTGAATTCTAACCTATGATCCTTGCCCTTGGCTACTCCAGGGCTAGGATTGAGGATGTATGCCACCATCCTAGGCTCTGAAGTTTCCCTGGTTGAAAGGTTTTAAGTATAAATTCAACTTTTTAATAGATATACAGATGTTAAGATTATCTACTTGAGTGAATTTTGGTTTATAGTTTTCAAGAAATATATTCATTTGAATTATTGACATAGAGAAATTATTGATATGCATTGATAACTTATTGATAAGCCATTCTCATATTATCTTTATGAATATTGATAGGACAGGTAATGCTATTGATCTTACCTGGTATTAGTAATTTGTGTCTCTTTGTTTTCTATTTTTATTTATTGTATTGATTGCAATCACCTTTTGGTTTCAGAGATTTTTCTGTTTTCCTATTTCTTTTTTTTTTCCTGCCTACTTGGGTTTTGCTTTTTTTTTTTTTTTTTTTTTTTTTTTTTACTTAAGATGGAAATTGAGAAATCCCCCCCCCCCACCAATTATGCCATTAATGCCAAAAGTTCCCTGTGCAGCAAAGTGTCTGGGTTTGCCAGTGCCCTGTGAGTTGTGAGCTTTTGTCCTTCTGCTGTGGTGAAGACGCAGTTCCTGTCTGTGGGAGCTTTGTTCTGTGTCTGCTTTGTACTGGCCACATATACTTAGTCAAAATATCCAAGGGGCCTAGATACTAGCTAGCCTCATGACCCAAGTCATCTCAGATTCTGCAATACAAAAAATACTCTTACCATTCTGAGATACCTAGAGTGTTAGGAACTATGTGTCAGGAGAGAGAGAGAGAGAGAAAGAGAGAGGGAGAGACAGAGACACAGAGACAGACAGAGAGACAGAGGTTATATAACAGGGTGGGAATATAAATGTAGTCCTTGCTCCACTTTATGATGTAGCCACAGTGGTGAGGAAAGTAACTAATATATGTGTGTATATATGTTTTCTAAGATACAAATATAGGTTAGCATTGATACATCATCAAACTAAGCTAAGAAAAATGCAAATGCAGAATGAAATGAACAAAAAACATTTTAGTTGAAAATCATGATTTTATGTTTACAAAATAAATTCATGTGTGAAATTCTACATTGAGGCCTTTATTAATGTTAACAGTTAAATAAACATTTTTGAAGCACATAGATTTTAAAAATATAAGCTTTTCTAATAGACCTTTTTGTTTGTTTGTTTGTTTTTGTTATTTTGAGATCAGGTTTCTCTGTGTAGTCCTGACTGTCCTGGAACCCACTCTGTAGACCAGGCTAGCCTCAAAATCTGATGGGCATCAGTCTCTGCCTCCTGATTGCTGGGATTAAATGTGTGTGCCACCACCCTCCAGCAAATACAGACTTTTATAGTGATGCCTTTTATTCTACTTTCAAACTTGAAGTTGCTGTGTCTAGTGCCCAGATTTACACTCGACTGCTAACTTGATTGGATAAAGAAGGACTAGGAACTTAGTGAAGTGCAATTCTGCAGTGTCTGTGGGGTGTTTCCAAAGACAACCAAGGGAGAAGGCCTGTTCTGACTGTGGGTGCCAGCATCCTGTAGGCTGGGGGCCCAGGGGCTAGAAAAGGGAAACTATCTGGCTGCAGCATTCTCCCTGTCTCCCTGCTGCCATGGTGTAAGCTGCCCTACTCTGCAACCTCTTGCAGCATGCCTTAAACCAAATAATCTCTCTGCCTTTACATTGTGTCAGATATTTTGTTTTAGTGGGGAAAGCTAATTAACAACAACAAGAAGTCTGCCAGCTTAAAGACACCTTTAGTTGACAGTAATATTCACATAGATTTATGGGCTGTACTAGTAATCAGAAGGCAAAAAAAAAAAGTTAGGATCAAAAGATTGTAGTAGATTATTCAGCATATATATTTAGTGGATAAATGAATTATGAATACATGAATTAATATGCTTGAGGTTAAAGTGAATGACAAAAGAAGCCATGCCCCACCTCCATCCATTCCTTTTCAAGTGATTACTCAGACTCACTCAGTTGCAGGCAAATCCTCCATTATATTCTAGGCTCTTTATGGAAGTCATGTGTGAGTTGAGATTCTCTAGGAAGGGATGAATTCCAAGGACAAGACCTTGGTATAGCCTATACGCTGAGTGTAAATGAACACATTGCCAGCTGTTTATCAACTGAAGTTATTGTTGGCTCTAATAATTGTAATGTTTCTTGTTTTATTTAGGAGTGGTTCTGATTAAAGCCAAGGTTGCAGAGCTAGTGTTCACTGGTACAGCAGCTCAGAAGATAGCTCTAAATGCTCGAAGTTCTCTGAAACGCATCTTCTTGTCTCTTCCCAACATTACATATGCTGGCTGTGCACAGTGTGGTGTAGAACTGGGAACAGATGAGAACAGGATCTACAGACAGTGTCTCAGCTGCTTGCCATTTGCTAGGAAGAAATCATTCTATAGGTAAGGCAACAAAGTGTCATGTTTTGTTGATTTGATGGAATATATTTATTGCATAGGGCTGGAAATGACTAAAAATTGCAAATACCTTTGTAATATAACTGAGAGTTTAAGCAGGAGAATAAAATTTCCCTGAGTGACAACTATTTATGAAAATAAAAATTCCCAATAACGAATAAGACTATTTTAAAGAATCAGCTGGATATTATTTTCTTTAAACAGCTATACGGAAGACTTTGTTCATTTTTAACCAACACCTGACAGTTCCATCGATAACTCATTTCCTCATCTTGCGTATAATGACACTGTAAAGGTTAAAAGTGTTATATGACCTCTCCCTAAGTTGTTTGCAGAGACTGGGGAATATTTGTTTAGCCGTCAGTGTTTCAGTTTCTCGCCTTTACTTTAGAATTGAAAGACAGCTAGTCAATGTATGCTCTTTGGTAAAATTGTTAGCTAGCTCAGTGAAAACACATCACTTTTAGATCAGTGTTCAAAGTCTTGGATAATCATTGTTTTGTAATCATAAAATTTCAGCCCTTTACAAAGGACTGGCAGTCCTTTCCTGTTGTTTCCAAATATTGAAGTATCTCAAAAGTAAGTATATGTGTATCCAGTACTTTTATTTGTTCATTTTTGTCATGTAACAGTCCATCATTAAGGGAAGTTAATCAGGAACTTAAACCAATCAGAGGCAGAACCTATGGAGGAAAGCTGCTTACTGGATTGCTTTCTAGCCTCTGCTCAGGTAACTTTCTTATACAGCACAAGACCCTCGCCTAGAGATAGTACCCACAGACCTGCTCATTTCCTGTAGATCAATCTGATGGAAACTCCCTTAGATAACTCTGGGCTGTGTTAAGTGGATAGCTGAAGCTACTTAGAAGACGTAGATTCAAGGCTTGCATAGCACGTACTTTTATCCTCAGAGCCATGTTGCTTGCCTTAAATTTTTTTCATACAAATATTTTATTATTGCTTAATTATTGAAGAAATATTTGCATTTAGCTTCATACCAAATGCTTTCTTTAAGATATTTTACTTTGAAAACTAATGTGAATAATATCAAATTATGAGAAAATGAATAAAGTCTTTATTACTCATTTATTAAAAGTAACTGAATTATGTCTTTTGTCAGTTTTATTGTATTTTAAAAGTATTTCAGAAGAGAGAATTTTATATATTAACTTATGTATGTATGGTTATCTATATGTCTACATATTTACATATTTCTATATTCAGTCTACATGTTTGTATCTATCTTAATACCCTTGTGGAAAACCACTTTGCCCCAGCAATCTTGGATGCTTATATTGTATAACCATAATATCAAGAAAATTTCCTGTCTTTTCCCTTCTGAAGAAATTGCTCTTTTACACAGAGAAGTATTGGCAACATTCTCACACTCTCCTGAACCTCCCTCTTTATGGTTTTTGCTTTGGCCTTTTTTTTTTTTTTTTGTGAATGAGTATTTTGTCTGTATGTGAACCATGTGTGTGCCTGGTTCCTACAGAGGATGTAGATACCCTGAAACTGGAGTCTTGTATGGTTGGAAGCCAAGAGCAACAAGTACTCTTAACTGTTGAGCAATCTCTCTACACCCCCCCCAGCCTCTTCTCTTTTGTGATGGGGTCTGATATGATTGGCTCTAGAATGTTAATCCCCCCCCCCCCATGTAATTGGTTGGTGGCTGAATTCTTGCAGATTCTAGATTAAGGCTTGGGTGGGGGGGCAATGATGGAGCCTTGGTTGTAAGCAGTGATGTTTTATAGAGTGTAAGCCTAGAAGAGATGCCAGATGGGATGGAGTTGGTAATACCCAGTCAGGTAGCACTGGTTGAAATTTGGCAGGACCAACATGAAAAAATGAGTTGGCTAGAGCTGGTTGAGATGGGTTGACTGTGGTTTAGAATGCAGCCAGGGAAAATAAGCTGCTGTGTGGCTCTTCATGAACTGGGGACAGTGGCCTTTGAGACAGAGGAAATGCTTGAGGCTTGTGCAGGGATGGGGACAGCTCATACTGGGATGTAGATGGAAACTCCTTTCCAGCACCACTCTCTGGTGTCTGTCTTTCGGTTTTCTCAGAACCTTGTCCTGTAGGTGGGATTTGATGGCTGGAGTTCTTTGGAGCTGTTTGTTTCTCAGAGCCTAGGAGGAATCCAGTTTTCTTCTCACTTTTCTTATCCAGTACATGAAAGACTTGCAGTGATGCCAGCAGGTGTGTCTCGTGTGTTCAAGGCTTTCTAAAGCCATTCCGGCTGAGTTAGATGGATTCTTTTTCCTCTTTGTCTTGGGAATGGTCAGCTTCTCATTTGCCTTGACTTTGTTCCTTGACTGCTTATACTCTTGGTTCTTAGAGTTGTTTTCTCTAGTTCTTTTGGTCTTTCTTGCCAACAGCAATTAACTAAGCAAGGAAATCTTTCTGAACGTGGCTGTCAGAGAACTTGGGCAGCTTCTAGGGAGCCCTATCTATCACTGTCCATAGCACTGCCCATAGCTACTTCTCCTTCCATCACACACACTGGGCTCTGGTATTGGATTTTAGTCTGAGCAGTTCCATCAAGAGGTCCAGAGGCCAGAGGCATTATCCTTATTCTTTTCTTCCTGACCTGATCACAGGGGCCTTTATGACACTTGACTTTTCTTCACCCAGATGGCTACCGTGGGATCTTCGGAGGTTGGGGGGGTATTTTGTTGTTGTTGTTGTTGTTTTGTTTTGTTTTGACAGTTTCATATATCCCATATTTGCCTTGAACTTGTTATGTAACTGACTCAGTGGCATTAACTTCTGATCCTTTTGCCTCTGTTTCCTGAGTTCTTGGATTATAGGTGTACAAATCATCATGCCTGGTTTCTGTGGTTTTGAGGATTGAATCTAGGATTTGTATATGCTAGGCAAGTCTACTAACTGAGATACATCCTTAGCATAGTACTTTGTTTTTATTGCAAAGTAATATTCTACTGTATGGTATATCCTATATTATTCATCCATTCATAAGTTGATGAAGATTGGAGTTGTTTCTTCCTTGGGGCTGCAATGAACATGTATGTACATGTTTGTATGTAGACATACTTTTCATGACATACATACCCAGGAATGTATTGCTGTGTGTGTATATGTTAGCCATTTAAGGCTTGTCCAAGCTCTTTTCCAAAGCAGTTGTGCAATTTTACACCTTTCTGGGCAGCAATGTGGGGGGGTCACACTCTCTCTACATTCTTGATACTGTATTAAGTCTCTTGTTTTAATTTCTGTTGTTTGAGTTTTTGGTGTTAGATATAAGAAAGGTGCCTTTCTTAAGCCAAGATCATGGGGATTTACATCTATATTTTCTTTCAAGGTCTTAGTAGTTGTAGCTGTTTAAAATATTTAGATTTGTAACTTGCCCTGTATTGACTTCTGTATGTGGTATAAGGAAGAAGTCCAGTTTACTCTTTTACATATTCATATATACATGTTCTGGCATGATTTTTTAAAAATTATTTTATTAATGTGAGGTTAGTATACAAAGCAATGGGTTTCATTATGGCTTTTTCATATGTTTGTATCATTATACTTTGTTCTCATTCGATTCTTTCCCCACGTGTCCTCCCGCAGTTCCATCCGATTCTCTTTCTTCATCCAGTTAGTCCTCTCTTCTGCTTTTATAAATATAATTTCTAGAGCTGGAGAGATGGATCAGAGATTAAGAGCACTGGCTGCTCTTGCAGAGGTCCTGAGTTCAAGTCCCAGCAACCACATTGTGGTTCACAACTATCTGTAATGAGATCTGGTGCCCTCTTCTGGCGTGTAGGAATACATGCGAGCAGAATAAATAAATCTTAAAAATAAATAAATAAAATATTTAAAATTTTATCTGTAGTATATTTAGTATAGACAGTTACATATACAGGTTATAGAGAATTTAAACATGGGTTCTCCATATATAATAAAATATGTGGTATTTGTCTTTATGAATATGGCCGCTTTTATTTAACATGCTTTCCAACTGTATTGTTTTTCCTGAATATGTGCCCAACATGATTTATTGAAAATGTTATTCTGGCCCACATTGAGTCATCTTGGCAGGCAGCATTGCTAAAAAAAAGTCTAATCTTGGAGTTAGATGTAAAGGTTAATAATGCAGCATTTGACAACCATGCATGAGGAGTGGGTTAGATACATATCTCCTAACTACAAAACTCAAATTCCAACCAGCCAACCAAACAGAACAGTAACAACAACAAAAAAAAAACAAAACACTCAAACAAACAAACCAAACCCCCTTTCTTATAAAATTCCCAAGATCCTTGGATGAAGGAACCAGATTTGTCTTGTCCTGAGTATAAACCAGCACTTAGCACAGTCCATGGTATATGATAGAGACTCAAGTTTGTATTTGATGAAATGAAGAATGGAAGGAAAGAAGAGTGTAAGAGAGAGAATAAGAGCAAATAAGAGACACAGACAGATGGACAGACAGACAGACAGACGACAAACAAAGGCAGAGGTGGAGGTAGACTGAGAGCGACTGGGGTATAAAGGTAAAGGACCTGGAATTATGTGGGTAAAGGGGGTGAAATCTGCAGGCTTGTTTTGTTTTTACTTCACTAAATTCCTTTCTATTTGTGAATCTGATTCTAAATTCTGTTATTTTTTTGTAGGCCGGCTTTAATGACCATTGTTGATGGAGGACACAGTACTTGTGTCCATGTAGGGTCAAAGATGATGGAGCAGATTCTTCTCGGCATCTCTCCAGATTGCCTCAGCAGAGTGATAGGTAAAATAGCAACACACTACCAAGCAGTTGTTCTGTGAAACTGTAAATAAAGCTTTTTTTCCTGTCATTATAAAAGTAGAAAGATAGTTTAGTTTGAGTGAAACATAAAAGCTCACGTAAGTTGGAAGGTAAGATCTCTTTACATCTGTCTTCGTACTTGAATAAAAAGGAAGGAAGTACCTAATCTCTTTAGCCTAAATTCCTAATTGGTCTGCAAAACACTAGGCTCCTGGTCTCATAATGGTTAAATAAATGAATGTGTAGCACCATGTACTGAAAGTAATCTTCATTGGAATGGATTCTTTAGCTCCTCTAAGATCCTCAGCTGTGATGCCAGGGACAGTCAGGGACTAAGAAGATAATCATGCTCCATGCCTGTCCTCATTAGCCTCAGACTTCTTAAGTAGACAAGCTGAGCTAGGCCTTTGTTTTTTTTAGTTTTGTAATAGTGAGTTGCTCTTCTTGTTAATAATAGGTTGAGCATATAATCAAAAAATATGAAACATAATGAATTTCATGTTTAGATTTGAGTCTTATCCCTGTGATACCTCATAATGAGTATATAGTTTTAAAAAAAATCTAACATCCAAAAACCATCTGGTCCCAAATACTTTGGTTCAGAGATGCTCAGCTTGTATGTGTACTTATAACTGTGATTGAGAACTACAGAAATATGGGTGAGTATGAGGCTTTTTCTGACATGGACATGCCTTTTTTTAAAATTGATTTTATATGTATGAATGTTTTATTCACCTGCATGTCTGTATACCAGAAGAGACTAAAAGAGGGCATTGGATCCCCTAGAACTGGACTTAGGATGACTGTGAGCTGCCATGTGGGCGCAGGAAATTAAACCCAGGTCTGTAAGAAAAGTGCTCCTAACCACCGAAGCCCAATTGCCTGCCCTTCTTACTTCAGGCCAGAACAAACCTCAGTCTTCACTTTGTCCAGAAGCTGATGGCTGGAGCTGCTGTCAGTCTGAGCAGTCTGTGCTTGCCTTGCATGCTCAGTGGGGACCACACCATCTTTCTAGACTACTTCCAACAACTTGAAACTAGAGGGAGAGGTATAGAACAAGAAATGTAAGATGTATGTGAAGCTTGAGGAACCAAGGGGAACAAGGAAAGCCTTCAGAGTGTGTTTCTGTGATGCTACAAGGGCCCTGAGTGGGATGTGTGTTTTGTTTTTCCTCAGTGCCTTCCTTAGAAGTCACCTACGGCATGGTTGCAGCAGACTTGCTCCACTCCTTGTTGGCAGTCAGTGCAGAACCTTGTGTGTTGAAGATTGAGAGCTGTTTTGAGTTGGATGAAAACAGCTACCCATTGCAGCAGGATTTCTCCCTACTGGATTTCTGTCCTGATTCATGTAAGATGTGGAGCCCAGCACTTTCTCTGAGGTCAGAGGAGGACACAGGAGGCATTCCAATGAAGGAGTGATGAAATAATCTCTTTTAAAGATTTATTTATTTTCTTACATGTTTATGAGTGTTGCCTGTGCATGTCTGTGTACCGTGTATGTGTCTGGTGCCCACAGAGGCCAGGAGAGTGTGCCAGGTCCCCTGGGACTAGTTGTGAGTTGCCATATGGATTTTGAGAAAGTGCTTTTAACCATACAACCTATATAATCTGTGTTTTAGAATAAATGAAATGACAGGGTTTTTACTCAGAATTTTTTAAAATAAATATTTTATTAGCATAATATAATTGTGCTGACTATGTAAGTTAATCATTAAAAAGAGAATTCTGTAAAGCTTTTATTATTTGCTTTTTTGTTGGTATTCTTTTTATTCTGGAGAAATGATCTAGCAATAAAGGCAGTATATCACAGTTCCCTGGGAATTATGGGTCCCCTATTTGTCATCAAGCACTAAACGTTGAAGATCCACATGTAAGACATTTCCTCAGAAGTCGCTTTTCTATTGTAAATTCTGTATGCTTTTTTCTTATTTATATCTTAATAAACTGCTGGTGTGGATTAATTTCTTGATTTTAACTGTACATGCTGGGCTAGTGATACAGTGCTGTTGGTAGAGTAGCAAGTGAATTAGTTCCTTTTCTGTTGCAGTGACAAAATAAAAACCTGACAAAGGTAACTTAAGGAAGGGAAGGCTTGTTTTGGTTTTGCAAAAGGTACAGTCATCATTCTGAAGAGAAACAAAGTGGTCCACTGGTCCCCTGGGTGCATCTTGGTGTCCTGACATGAGGTTTAGGTTTAAATAAAGAGCAGGAGGCATGGGTAACTAAACAGTCGTGGTCAGGTGTGGTCCCTGGTCTGTCCAGCAGGGGGTCAACATAGTGTGAAGTCTCTTTTTTGGGAGACAAGCTTCCTCAATGGCTAAAACTAGAATGCCAACCTTTCCTGTTGTTAACACAAGACTTAAGGAGGAATTCCAATTCCTTGGTGTCCATTGTCTCAGCATTCTGCTAACCAGAGGGAGGGGCACAAATGTTTCTAGTTAGAGCATTGTGGCTCTTGACTGGATAGTTAACCAGCTGAATTAGTATTGTAAACATAGCTGTATCCCTGAAAGCAATCCACACAGTCAGTGCAATCCTTAACAAAGTGAGTTTCTTTATAGAAATAGAAAAACATTCCTAAAATTCATATGGGAGCACAAAATGAGTTTCTTTACAGAAGTAGAAAAAAACAAAAAACAAACAAACAAAACAATCCTAGGATTCACATGGGAGAACAAAAATACCCTAAATCAGTGTTCTCAACCTGTGTGTCTTGATCCCTTTAGGGGTCACTTACCGGATATCCTGCCCACCAGATATTTACATTAGGATTCATAATAGTAGCAAAATTAGTTATGAAGTAGCAATGAATTAATTTTATGGTTAGATATCACACGAGGAACTGTACTAAAGGGTCACAGCATTAGGAAGGTTAAGAACCACTGCCCTAGACACTCAAAGCCATGTAAAAAGAAAGTATCTTATTTCAAATTTTATTACAGAAAAAAAACCAGACACTATCAAAACAGACATGTAGATTGATGGAGTAAAATAGAGGGTGTAGAAACAAACCCATACACTTACACCCATATGATTGACAGCAGTGCCAAGAAACATACATTGGAGTATGTATGACATGCTCTTCAGCGAATGGCGCTGGGCAAAGCCAGGTAACCACACAAGAATGAAGCTGGAGCTTTATCTCTAAACCTGAACAAAAAGTGAGTCAAAATGGACTAGTGCCCTTAAGATCTGGAAGTGCAGGAAGAAAACACAGGGAGAATACTTCCAAGATCCAGACACAGGCGAGGCCTTCCTGGCACATCAGACCGTGCGGCTGCAAAAAGCAGTGACTCGAAGAAAGGACTCCAGTAGCTCAGCAAGCAATATCAAGATCTGGCAAATGGGACTGCACACAGTTTCAAACTCGTGTGACACAAAGCAAACCTCAGAGTGAAGAGACAGCATACAGGACAGGAGAGAAATTGTCAGCTGTGTTTTGGGCTTGGGATTAGTATCTAGAATGAAGAACAAGAAACAACATCAACAAAAATCAATAAATGATGAATCAAATAGATAGTTCTCAAAAGAAAAACTAGTGGACTGTAAATCTATGAAGAAATACTGTCTGTAGCCCTCAGGAATATGCAAGCAGAAACTATTCAGATTCCTTCCATCCCAACCAAAGGGACAAACGGCAAATATTGGTGAGAATGTAGGGAAAGAGAAATCCTTACACTCCATCCAGCAACAGCTCCAGGAAGTAGATAAACAGCATCACACAGTTCACACAAAGGTAAACCCGACACACGGAAAGAGTCCTACTCAAAGCATAATGTGAAAGAAGGCAAACAGAAATGGCATGTATCTTATTCCTTAGGTAACATAGCATATGCTGTACATTATATATTACACACACAAATGTATACATGCATACGTACGCATGTGTGTGTGATGTCTGCCTACCTATTATATAGTGCATGGTCAGGTAATAAAAACCAAGTAAAAATGCTGTCTAGTCAGGGAGGAAGAGGCAGTGCCACCCTGGAAGGTTGACTTTCCTGGCCTGCTAGCTCTGCTCTGAGATAACAAGCCAGTCGAGTGGCAGTCACAATGCTAAACAGTAGAGGGTGCTGGAGACGCACAGGGAAAGGCTGCATTGCAGTAGTGGTGTGAGCTGGAAGCCACAACAGGCTGCCCAGTTGGCTGGTGCCACTGGTGGGGCTCAGCCAGGCTGTCAGACACGTGCCTACCACCTCCTGTCATGCACATTAAGCACTCCAGGTTGGGTCCCCTTGGTGGACTTTGCTTACTCACTCCTGCCTGAAAGCTTGTCAATCAGCAATCTAACACAAGGTGGTTATTTGCCAGATTTCATTCTTCATCATTAACATTGAACAGTTAGTTTACACAGAGACATGGGAGGAAGTGAGGAGTCTAAAGAGAAAGGCAGGAAGAAGGTTTTACCTTCCGCAGACCCTGACTGCAAAGTACCCCAGGCCGCTGGCTGGCTGTTTCTGAGCTTCTGGTGAAATGGAACACTGACAGCATATTCACACATCGGGGATGTGATCACAGCTCTTTCTAGCTGCAGGGTACTGAGAAGCACCACAACCTGCTGACCCCCACTTCCTCCCTCTCTGCCCCTGCTTGGAGGGAGAGCCCTCCTGGGCTGGGGTGTAGCCTCAACCTGCTAATGTACAAAATGGTACTCAGTTCCCAAGGGATGGTTTCTTTCATCTACAATTGAAACACAATTTCTCCTAAAGCAAACTGTGATTCAGGCAAATCATTCCACAGTGAGTATTAGGGGAATATAACGGGTAAGTATTACAGTTTGTTTTTAAAACTGCATGCTAAATTCAATTAAGAAATTTGTAAATTATGTTGAAGGAGCTGGACATATGGAATCTAATCAGTGAATTATTTCATTATATTTTCCTAGTTAACTATTCAGACCTTCTTAGCAGATAGCCAGCTTCTGTCTGCTCCTTGGATGAAAATATGGAGTGAGTCCCATGACTCCTGGGTTCGCTCATTCATTCATTCATTCATTCATTCATTCATTCATTCATTCTTTTCTCTCTCTCTCTCTCTCTTCAGCATTGTGACTGTTTTGCTCACCACTAGTAGCAAGTACATAAAATTACTCCTATAACTTCTGGTTCCACAGTCAGACCCTGTCCACCCAGTGTTTAGTGTGATACAGTCATCCACACAGTGTTCAGTGTGGTACAGTCAGTCATCCACCTAGTGTTTAGTGTGGTACAGGCTTCCACACTGTTTGGTATGATAAAATCATACACAGTGTCTAGTGTGATACATTCACCCAAAGATCCAACATCCGGTTGCAGCTGACTTGCTGTCTGTCCTGCTGCTGTTTTGTGTTTCTGTCCATCCTTCCTCCCCCACCTTGCTCACAGGGATGATCATCCTAGCAGAAACCTGCATGGGTGAGGAGGAAGGCCACCTAAGGGACAGGAAGCTACATATGAGCAGTAAACAGCACTCGGCTGCAGTGTTGGAGGCTTCCATGCATGACTCCTTAGTGAGGTTGTCTTCTCCACCAGCCCACGTCCACCGGCAACAATACCTTTACAATTCCAACCCTTTACAATATTTTTTAGAGGGCATTGCCTTTGTCCGGAAATGGAAGTCAGTTTTGAAAATATATTTCTCAGACTCTTAGGAACCGAATCCTAGGTTAATTCTCCTAACTATGAGGAGACCAAATCAAGGAATATCAATCAAGGGAGACCAAAAAGTAGCAAGAGGGTAGCAACACTCATCTTTGCTCCCTCTGATAATTATCTTTGCACAGTCTGAGCAGGATACTCAAGGCTCTTGAAGTAATTTGGACAAACATTCCGCAGTGAAAAGAAAAGCGCAATTGGCAAATGGCTGCACAAAAAGTACAGCGCATCATTATGGGATGCCAAATTGCTGGGAGGCAACTGCATGAAAGGTTCTCTCTCAGGGATGCACCTGTAGGAGTGGCACAGGCTCCTGGAACTGCCTCACACTTAATTCTTCACGCCTCCCTGGAGCTGTGCCCGTTGTTCTGTAGCTTTGCAAAAAGGCATTTTTACTCATCTGATGCTTGATTTTCAGCTTGACCATGTGATTTGCTTCGGCCCAGGGATATGGGGGGGGGTATCATGTAAGCAGAAGACAAAAGTACCTCTGCCTTTTACGCTTCTGCCTCCACCTTAAAAAGAGCTACCCCTGTGTTAGTTGGTGCTCAGTGTGAAGACTTCAGCCTGGTGAAGAGTCCAGCCTAGCCAGACCCACACTTGAGAACGAGTGGCCTCACCTGGGGCAGTTCATGATCCACAGATGGAGAAGACAGAAATGCCCCACTGTATACACTGAGAAGCTGTGTTCTTTTGCTGTGCACTACCATCGCAGCACAAAGAGCTGCCTGAATATAAGCCACTTGCTCCACTTGCTTTGACTGAGCGTTTCCATGAATCCCAGTTCTCCTGTCTGTACCTTCCAAATAGCTGTCATCCTGCCACCCCCACTGGGCATTCCTTTTCTGGGAAAGGACTTTTTCTATGAGAGGCAGACTGACATTCATTAACAACAAGGGGAGAAGCTGAACGAAACACAGACAACCCATTATAGAACAAAGAGCCACCAAGTCTGGAGCAAAGCAGAGACGGGGTTACTTCTGAGAACCACTTTCCTGAGCTTGTGGGCAGAGTCATCTTAAGGGCAGCAAAGGTTGCAGCATCTGATGCTTGGGAGACAAGGAACTGAAGACTAATGTTGCCAAGGCAGTCGAGCAAAGATAGACACAGAAGTCACATTAACCCGTAAGGACTTTTCCCCTGGAAAGTTCCTTGAGTTACTGAGCTGAATTATGTCACAGTTCTTTTAGAAGTTGGACTCAGGGCCCACAGAGGAAGAACTCTTGGTTGGGTTCCCTGAAGGACACCCACAACTCAGTTCAAAACCAGACTTGACATGCTTAGCTTAAATATGACTGTATGTATCCGTACCGCCTCATATGGTATTTACACACATATCATATTCATGACACACTCCTATTTCTGCTGTCTTTAGGTTGAGAATGAAGTTCTCTTTGTTTTCCTGACATTGGGGAGAGTGGAACACTGATGTTATTTTCTTTTGATGACCAATAATTGCTTATCCTTAACTGCTTCTGCCCTCTAAACTCATTTAGGAAAGTTAATCCCATCATTTGACAATTAAACTTAGTAATGTCCCAGTGCAACTGGCCAAGACCAGCAGAGTTTGGGGTTGAGCTTCCCTGTGGAGCTCAAGGAGGGTGGCGAAGGCTGTCAGTAGTGGCCATGGCTTCATGGATCATGTCCTTAGAAACCAGTGGCGGTTCTTTACTGCTCCAATGTCCCTGTTGCCTGAAGTAGTATCACCTGCCATGTACCGTCTCTTAAAAACAGCTTTATAACATACAGAAGAGCTGCTTCCTTCTTTTTGTTTAGGATAAAGACTAATTGCTTCTCTTCCAAAAACTGTAGGAGTTAAATTCCATTGATTTGAAGGGGAAATGTTTTTGTAATGAGGAACTGAAGGTCCCCCTGCCCCTTTTCTTTTTAGATAGGAACTCATTATATTGTCTGGCTTTAAAGTTGAAAGCTTTCTGCCTCAGCCTTCTGACTACAGATGTGCATCACTATGCCTCATGGGGGTTTGGATTTCGATGGTCTCTTTAAAATCCATTTTGATGGAACTGAAGAGATGGCTCACAGTAGTTATGAACACTTGCTGCTCCTCCTGAGGATCTGGGTTCAGTTTCCCACACTCCCATCAGGTAACTCCAGTCGCAGGAGCTCTGACACCCTCTTCTGGCCACTTGGGGCACCTGTATGCACATGGTGCACATACAGACCAGCAAGTGCCTACACATACACACAAATGCAAATTTGTTAAGGAATTACCATAACGTACTTTTTCTTATTCCATGATTTTAAAAAATATTTTCTCCAGAAAACAAAAACCTGTCTAAAAAAGAATACATTTTTACAGTTAATTACTCTCACAGTTAATATTCCATATAGATGGTATTTTATGTTTGATTACTATCTTTAAAATCCTTTATCATGTTTATGACAGATGTTCTTTCAGAGAGGTGCAGTTTGTTTATGTGACAATTATAAAGTTTCTTTGTTTTCAACTCATCATATTTAACTAATTTCTTTCACATTATTCAACCGTAATAGACATTGTTCTATTTACCTGTAATGTATCTTTTACAATGCCATTTAAATTTTACTTTATTTTATGTGTCTGGGTATGTCTGTATACCACCACATGCCTGGTTCCTCCAGAGGCAAGAAGAGATGTTAGATCCTCTGGAATTGGAGTTACAGCTGTGAAGTTCCATATGGGTGCTGGGAATCAAACCCAGCTCTTCTGCAAGAGCAGCCAGTGTGCTAAGTCGCCTCCCCAGTCTCTACAATGCCATGTTACACTTGTGCCATCTCTTAGTGCGCTTTGGTAGCTGTGTCATGCCTCAATAATTAGGAGATCTAATGCCTTGATTCGTGTGACTGTTGAACCTCACCAATGGGGTGTCTTTGTAGATATGCTGTGGGGCTCTATTCTGAAGCCCCACAATGGAGCTGTGATAGATCATAAGAAGATGGATAAGATCAGTTGTGTTTAGCAGAGCCTTGATTGCTTTCCTTCAGTTAAACAGTAAACACTGAAGTGGCCTGTCCTACAGGTACAGGTCCTCTGTACCTGTATAATATATATATGTATAATAGCCATGATGCTATTAGAAGAAACTGCAGTGTGGATCACATTGAAAATGTGTAAGTGAAAAGAGTAAGGAAAATGCAAACGCAAGGTGACTGTCCATCTGGACCAGTCAGGCAAAACTTGTATTTGTGTATTTGACAGCAATGAGACAGGCACAGACAACGGCCACTGCTGCTTTTGCTGAAGTCGCTTCACTGCATGCAACGGGAAAGACCCAGTGGGCTGTTTGGCCTTAGTTACACAGCAGCTGCATCGACTTTTCTGGCTGCAGCTTAGGGTGCAGATACACATGGAAACACAACAGGCACAGTGCCCGCTCATTAGTACAACATGGGCGTCTGATGACAGTGACTTTGATTCTAAGGACCTCCGACCTAATGAAGTTTACCCCTACCAGGGCACAGTCATGCACTGTCCCCAGTCTTGTGGACAATGCCAGGGTCCGTCCCATGTATTTACTGTCCAAAGTAATGCCAAATCTGTTAACCAGCAACAGATCACCTGAGGGACTAGGGTGTGAGGTGTCGTAGTCTGAGGATGGCTGTGGGCCAGGCTTCATATAATTTTGGGGCGGGTGTTATGGCTTCAGGGAGGAGGCTACATAGTAAGTAAGCTGTGCTGACCACTTGTTGACTTCCTGGCATGTGGGTGTGGCCCCAGGGAGGTGTGTGTTGTTCCACTCTGCTGGGTGGAAGATAGAGAAACCCCACCTTGAAGCACAATACAGTTGTGGACTCAGCTCACCACCAGCTTGCCAAGATGGTGAGACCCCGCTCACGCTCCATTCCCATTCAGCATTTGTAGCTATGTTCCATCATACAGAATATCGGTTCTCAACACCTGAGATCCTGTTCTAGGTCATGATCTCGATGACCAGGAGCCAGGCTCCAAGGCCAGGCAGCCCCACAGGTCAGGAGAGGTTAGGTGGGTTGGGAGAGGATCCTGGACACAAATACTGGTCAAGTCTGAGCTTCTTTGTCCCTTTTTCCTCCTGCACACGAACGAGAGCACTCATGGACCACTGGCTCCAGCTAGCCCCACAGTGCACTGACTGTTAGATGAGATGTCCATGCTGTGGTGTTGCATGTAACAGGGATTTCCAAGCAGAGTGAGGTCCTGGCACTGCTCAGGGTTCTGCGGGGCGGCAGAGTGCATGCCAGCGCGTTACCATCTCCTTGGGCTTGCGGAGCATCTGGTCCCAGTGTTCCAGCTCCTTACCTCGGGTATACATGTAGGGTCCCACTATCACACGGCCCAGTGGGTAGCTCTCTGCAGGGGAGGAAAGGCTGTCAAGTCCTTAAACACAGAAGCCAATGTTACCCTCATCCTAATATCTGCACTGACTTCCCTGTGTTTCCCATTCCCTCTTAGGAAGGAAGTGGCAAGCTCCTCCTCTCTAAGCATGCGCCATCAGCACTGTTTCCTCAGCCCTGCCCTGCACCGCCTGGCTCCCTGCCCCGGGCCATGTGGAACCCGAGGCATGTGGAATTGCTATGAGAGAAAGCACTTTGTAGAAGGAAGACGTCTTTCATTGCTTCTCTGTACACCGGGCAAGAGCATTAGGCAGTAATGTCCACCCACCAAATACCACTGGCGAGTAGGTCCCAAGTCCAGCCCATGTGAACAATCAAGGCCCAATGACTTTGCTTCTGTAGTCAGGGACAGTGAATGCTAAGGGTTAGGGGTTGGATAGTGTAGGACAACTGGCTAGGAGACCCATTCAGGGCCTTACATGCTCATCTAGAAGGCTTGAAGAAATGCAGAGAGCACAACTCCCAGCCTGGGAAACGGACTGCCTGACATCTCTGACAATTTATCCAGAATGAGGAGGGGGAGGAGACTATCCTTCACCCTCTTCCTAGGGGCAACACAGACAGAATCCAATTGAACTAAAGCTGAGTATGAGTTCCACGCTTTCCTGCAGGGAAGCCCTGTGGCCTTGGGCAAATATCTCAGCCTCTCTGAGAGCTTTTTTTCTTTTTCGAGACGGGTGTTTCTCTGTATTGCTTTGGAGCCTGTCCTGGAACTCACTCTGTAGACCTGGTTGACTTCAAACTCACTGAGATCCACCTGCCTCTGCCTCCCGAGTGTTGGGATTAAAGGCGTGTGGGCCACCAACACTCAGCTGAGAGCTAGCTTCTTTAATCAGAAACAGGGACAGTTCCACCCTGCCTACAACTCAGTAGCCCCAGCTTTGAATTGCTCCAACCCCATGTCCCCACATCCCATCCCCTGAGCCTTACTGTCTCCTTCTTGGATCTGCAGCACCGTCAGACTAAGGCTGGCAGTGTCCAGCTCATTGGCGTGAGCCTTGAAACTAAAGGTTTCATTGTACACAGGGTTGACAGAGCCCAGCACAGAAGTCCTCTTGCACTTGACGAATTTGTTGTGATTCATCAGGGACACTTTGATGAACACACCTGTGGGGGCTGTGCACATGTACTAGTGGGCAGAAGAAGTAGGCAAGGACCCAGTCCCTAAAGTGGGATTCCTGGAGGAGGGCCTGTGCCCCCTCCCTAAGTACCAGGTCCCTATCACTTTCTGGTTCCCAGCTGCTGAGGCCAGAGGATGCGATAGGAGGAAACAGTTAATTAGTGTATTTCTGGCTTCCTTTCCCTTCCTCTGGCTCTGGAGGCACCCGTGCTCAGCTGGCCCTGTTTACTGGAACCTGGCACCACAGCCCAGCCTCCCTGCTGGCAACACATTGCCTGCTGGACACTCAGGCTTTGAGCCTCCTTAAGCCCCTGCTCATCCAGAAGCTTGGGAGCCGGTGCGGATGAGTTCAGACCCTCTGAACTCCTGCAGGTAGTCACCAACTTCCACTTGGCTGGGGGTCATAAGATGAACAGGGTCAGTGCCTGGCTCCAGCATTGTGGAAGGCCAGGAAGCAGCAGAACTATCAGGGTACCGGCACCCCCAAAGGGTAGGAGCCCTTCCTCAGGCATAGGCTGGTGTGGGGCAGGCTAAGCAGCCAGGCTGGTTCAAAGCACTAAGCCACTGCCCTGGGGAACCGGAGGGGAGGGCTGAGGTCTTGAGTCAGTGCAGAGCCCTTGGTACCTAATGTAGCCTTAGAAAAGGCTTTGGATAGGGGAAGCATCCCTAGAGGGAGGGCAGGGCAAAGCAGAGGAAGTGCCTAGTACTTGGTCTTGGGCACAGGAAGCACCATTTGGATGGCTGGTATGAGGTCAGACTCTTCCTAGCCCTGGCTAGGCTCATTAGGAGGGGCCTTCTCTGGGACTGGGACCGGAAGAGTGTGTTGGGGGAGGGTGTGACTCACTGACAACACCCCTGTCTTCCTGGAGCTGGAGACCTTTGGCAGGGAGCACAACCACAGTCAGGCTGCTCAGGTAGTTGTTGTAGCTGAGGCAGAACTGAAGGTCACCAAACTCTGAGGGAGGCTAGGGAGGCAGAGATGGAAGCATTTGCTCTTGTCACTCAGCGAGTGGCAGAGGAGCTGAGAATCTCCTGTGACACATCTGGATGGTTTCCTTTGTGACTCCCACTGTTTTACAGACAGGAAAACTGAGGTCTGGGCATTGGAAGAGATTCATGGAGTACAGAATAAGCATTTCCAATCCAAAAGACTCAAATCTGAAATGAGCTGATGTTCCAGACTCTTTGAGTGTCAAATGTTAAATTACACACTATGAAACTGCTCTGTTTTAAAGTCTTGTTAGGTGTGTTTGTGCATGCTCACACGCATGTGTGAAGGCCATATGCCAGGCTTTTCATGGGTGCTAGAGATTTGAACTCAGTTCTTTTTTCCCCCAGTGAATACTCTTACCCACTGAGCCATTTCTCTAGCCCTATATTTCATGTGTATTGGTGTGAGGGTGTCAGATTTCCTGGAAATGGAGTTACAGACAGTTGTGAGCTGCCATATGGGTGCTGGGAATTGAACTCCGGTCTTCTAGAAGAGCAGCCAGTGCCTTAACTGCTGAGTCATCCCTCTGACCCCAAAAATTATTTAAAATACTATATAAAATGATATTTGTGCATTGTGATTAAAGTGAATATAAAGTACATTGCATTGGACTTGGGTCTTCTCCCTGAAGGTATCTCTATGTATATGTAAACACTGTAAAAAAAAATATATATATATACGTATATATATGTGTGTGTGTGTATATATATATATATATATATATATATATATATATATATATATATATATGAAATGTGAAACCTTCCTAGTCCTAAGCATTTTGGGAAAGAGATCCCTAGTCTGTGGTAATGGGCCAGAGCCAGGTATCTGGATCCTAAATCCTGTTTGGACTCACTAGGGTCCACTCTGGGAATAGGGAACAAGAGATGAACACTTCTCTGAACCTAGGCTTTCCCATTGTTATGTTCCCTTTCACAGAGACCTGTGTGGGAATCCAAATGCACATTTCTTTAGAGATAGAGGTTCACTATGTAGCCCAACCTGACCTCCAATTTGTGATATGGGCTGGCTCAGTGGCTCATTGGGTTAAGCCGTCTACATGAGTTCAAGTTGTCTTCTAATCCTTACAAGTATGCCATGCGCCGCCCCCCCACCAATAGATAAATAAAAATGTAATTAAAAAGTTGTGGTTCTTGCTGGGCAGTGGTGGCCCATGCCTGTAATCCTAGCACTTGGGAGGCAGAGGCAGGTGGATTTCTGTGAGTTTGAGACCAGCCTAGTCTACAAGAGCTAGTTCCAGGACAGATTCCAGGGAAACCCTGCCTCAAAAAGAAGAGAAACAGTTGTGGTTCTCAACCCCATAGAAGCTAGAATCTTCTTCTAGAAACAGATGGAAGTAGAATTCTACAACTAACCAATGGGCCAAGCTCCTGGTGTACAATTGAAGTGAGGGAGGAGTGAAAATATGAACAAAGGAGTCAAAACCATGATGGGGAAACCCACAGAATCAGCTGACCCGAGTTAGTGAGAGATCACTGATTCAGGTCTGATAAATGGGGAACCTGCCCAAGACTGAACTAGATGCCCTTATAATATAGGTGACAATGGTGTGACTGGGACAATATATGAGGCCATTGGCAGTGGGTCCAAGATCTAACACTAATGCACAAAATGACTTAGTGGAGCCCATTCTATATGGAGAGATACCTTGCCCAGCCTGGTTGGACACAGGGGTGTGGGGATGGAGAGATGCCTTGGTCCTGCCGCAATGAGATGATGGGACAGATTTAGAAGATTTCCTAGGGGAGGCCTTACCCAATCTGAGGAACAAATGGGGGAGGGGAGTGGAGAGTGAAGGAGGAGAGGAGGGAGGGGGAACTGAAATTGGAATGTAAAAATTAAATAATTTTCTTAAAAAAAAGATGTGGTTCTTCTGCCTCAGCTTCCTGGGTGCTGGGATTGTAGAGATATGCTACCACACCTGATTCCTAAATGTGAGTTTTCAAGTTGCTCAAGAGTATCACTTAAAGGATTTCAGTGTCCTGTTCTTCCTGTAGGGTCTGGGCCCACCTCCCTGAGCCACTGTATGGTGATGGCTAGGAACAGAGGGAAGATGCTGGCCAGGCGGTACCTGGTAGGCCCTTGCATATCTTGGCAACCCACAGTAATGCTGACACCAGCTGCCACATGCCTGGTGACCATCTCACCTCTAGGTTCTCGGCTTCAAGGACTCTCCAGATGATATGGTGGCAGTCCCCTGCAAGAATCTCATTCTTCAGGGGGAATAGCACGTGCCCGAGGAGCTGGTGCCTCCTTTGCCCATTTACATGGTACACAGAGAACTTCAGCACTCTCTGAGTGATACTTCTGCTGGATACCTGAGGACAGAGAGGACCCAGGCCAGGGTCAGGTCTTGGGTCCAGGTGGTGTACATAACATGCTGGAGACAGGAGACACATCCAAACTCAGGCTTACTTAGAGACCCTTCTCAGAAGCAAGGCCCAGGAACCTTTGGAAGTACATGGGTAGACCTGAGCCTTGTCATACAGTGTTTTAAGAACTTATATTCATTGCTGTCTGGGGGCTTGATAGCCCAGTAACCAGAATCTTCCCTGGGAAAGTGTTTGCTTGCAAAAAATGTTATGCCAGAAGTCATGTCCCAGTCTTAGGGAAATGGACTCACTTCTCTCTGAGCCTTGGCCTTCACAGCTGTGAGGTGGAGGTCACTATTTTTTGTCTAGGCTGTAAAACCCCATCACTGTGTCTGGACTACAGTAGATGGGCAAATAGTACTGATTTCCCTTTTTAGCCCTTCTTCCCAGAGCAGGGAGGCCAAGATCAAGTTGGGGTGAGATAAGAAATGAGGGTGCTTCCAACAAGAGACTGTGGAATCTTCATCCCTAAATGGAGCATCCTTCTCAGCCCCTCCCCCTATCATCAAGGCTCAGGGGACAGCTAAGAAGAAGCAGAGAAAATGTAAGAACCAGATGTAGTGGTGAATGCTTTGAATTCCAGGGCTTGGGAGGCAGAGCAGTTGGCTCTGCATGGATTCAAGAGACTAGTAAACCTGTCCTGTTTAGGTTGCTTATCCCAGGTATTTTGTCACAATAGGGAAATGCAGAGTAACAGAAGACATCTCTCTTATTTTTAACATTCTCTAATTTTTTCAAATTAGAATTTATCTATTATATAAATAACAACAAATTAAAAATAAATGATAATGTATTTTTATCACATTTGTATATATATATATATATGTAAATATATTTTTTTCCTCATATTTATCATTACCCTCTTTTGTTCCCTACCAATGATAATACTTCTATCTTCCTGTCAGACATTTAAATCTAGATTCTTCATATGAGGGATATCTTTCTGAGTCTGGCTAACTCTGTTTAACATATGACTTCCTAGTCTTCGTTTTCTTGCAGACGCCATGTTTTCATTCTTCATGGCTGAAGAGAACTCCACAGTGTGTATGTATCACAAGCCTCCTCTTTTGAGGAGCTTGAAGGGAGCATATCCGGTTGAATCGGAAGTCTTCCTTGTATGTGTCCAGTTCTATTTCAACTCCTCTGAATGCCAACACGGAGCGGAGGACTCACGCCTAGCTTACTCCAGCTCCCTGGGGTGTTTTCTATTTCCCTATCTGATTCTCTCTTCTTCTGTTCCCTGACTAACCATTGTCTTTTTCCTACACAGGCCAGGGCATTCTGTTTTCTTCCTCAGGAACTACTTTCCTACTTCCTTCTCCAAATAACCCCCGCAAAGCGGGTGCCATTCCGCTCCCCACATCATCCCCTCACCATAGCTGTGGGGCTTTGCACATGACCTAGTCATGGCCAATCTGTGTATTCCATTCACTGAGATACAAGTCTTGATTGGGTTCATTTTCTCTACAGTTAAAGAATAAAAAGGCGGGAAAAATCCAAACAGTGACAGGTAGCATTGAAGAACCCTCAACCACTGCAGACAGCAACATGCAGTATCGGCATTTGAAGACAGGCATTTATTGGGGGTGAGGAAAAACATGCATGCAGCATGCAGTAGACACACAGAGATAAAGGCACTCTGTGAAGCTGGGGGCTGGGGTGGGGCTCAGATACAATCTCTTCTCCAGGACTGGGGTTCTTCAGGTTTCTCAAGAGTTTTCCTCCACTAATTTAGAGATGGATAAGAAAAAGTATCTCATGCGCATGTAGGGGTGGACACTCCTGTGACTTTGGGCATCCACTGGGCATATTGTAATGTGTCTGTGTGGATGATGAGAATCTGCTGTAGTGCTTAATTAGCAAAGGCAGAGGACAGGTGGGGCTGTGGGTAAGATTTTACTCTGGTTTACATAGTGGGGAAGCAAGTGGCTATGGTGAGGGGCAGCTGGGGAGGGCCCGACTTGGGTCTGCCAGCAGCTAGCTGTTCCAGTTTGACCACTGTGTCAGTTTGAATGAGAAGTGTCCCCACAGGCTCATGCATTTGAACAATTGGTCCTAAGTTGGTGGCACTGTTTAGGCAATGTTATGGAACCTTTAGGAGATATGGCCTTAGTGGAGGAATGTATCATCTCCTCCTCCTCCTTCTTTTAAAGAGACTTTACATAATATTTTAATTGATTATTTGGGAATTTCACATCATGCCCCTGATCATACTCACTTCCCAGTCCTCCCCAGTTCACCTCCCCATCCTTGTGACCTCCCCTACAAAAAAAGAGAAGAAACAAATCCAATTTTTGTTACCCATATACTCATTGGAGCATGGGCAAACTCCCAGTGTCCAGCCCCTTAAAGAAAAGAGTTCATCCCCACCTGCACCCCCGCCAGAAGCCATCAGTTGTAGAGAACTACACTTTAACATCCTTATCACAGTAGTTAAGAATTCCCTTCAATGATTCTCTGTCTAGGCAGTTACTTCTGGGAGGTGGGGTGGCATAGGGATGGAGGTAGTTTATGGCAATAGCGTGGACCACCAACATCCACATGGTCTCTTCAGCATCAGCATGTGCAACAGATCTCAGAATGGTCTCCAATGGCAGTGCAGACCATGGACATCAGCAGACCATGGACATCAGCATAACCCTTTTGCCAAGCATGGGCCACAGACACCACCATAGCTCTCAATGGCAGCATAGGCCAAGGATGTCAACAAGGCCTCTGGGGCAACACAGGCCACAGACACCAACATGGCCTCAGGTGGCAGTACAGATCACAGACATCCACACGACCTTCAGCAGTAATATCAGCCATGGGCATCCACACGGCCCCCATCTGCAACAGGATCACAGATTCTAACATGGCCCTCAGTGGCAGCAGGGACCACAGATGTCGATGTGGCCTCAGGGCACTGCACAGGCCACCCAGGAAGCACATCTAGAGTCTTCTCCCTCATTGAGTTTGTTGGCCAGACCACCCACAGCTGTGCCAGATCCAGGGGAGAGGAAGAAAGTGAGTCTTACAGTGGCGAAGTGGTCAAAGGGTAAAGGACCCAGGGAATGACTGTGTGCCATTACTTTTGTTTCCTTGTTGACAAAATAAAATAAGACCAGGACTTCAAAAGATTAGGTAATAGCCCCCCAAGGACTAGGGATTTCTAACCCCAGATTAAAACCTGCTGTGATGAGGCCTACAGGTCTTTCTGCTACACCATGAATCTTCTGTATATTCAAGACTGAAAACCCAGAAACTTCAAGCATAGAAAAGGTAGATAATAAGGACTGAGTTTAGGAACAACTGAACTCAATAAACACCAAGTAGGTAGGGGTGTGTTGTTTCCCCCTAACCAGCAAGCAGATGAGACTGGCCGCCCAGAGCACTGTGAACTGCTTAAGTGTTTTATCAAAACCCCAGGCTGGCCAGGTAGTGGTGGTGCATACCTATAATCCTGGTACTCAGGAGGCAGAGGCAGGCAGATCTCTGAGTTCGAGGCCAGCCGGTATATAGAGTACGTTTCAGGACAGTCAGGGCTACACAGAGAAACTCTGTTTTGAAAAGCCAATACAAGAAACAAAACAAACAAATAAAGCCCCCAAAACAAAACCCTAAAACCAAGACAAACAAAAACAACAACAACCCAAATTCCCTCTCTCCTTCAGTTCTCATAGTTATGGCTTCTGATCTGTGCTGCCAGTTTTATGTCAACTTGATACAGGTTCCAGTTGTCTGAGAGGAGGGAACAAGCAGACAAGCCTGCAGGGCCTTTTCTTAATTAGTGATGAAGGGGCGGGGAGAGGGAGGGCAGGCCACTGTGGATGGGGACGCAAGAGAGTCAGGAAGGAGGAAGGGGAAAGGCAGATGAATGGGGGTTGCCATTAGTTGGTACAAAGCCCCCCTTTAGAGTCAGGAATGGACACGTGATTTATTTGGGCCTATGAGAATAGAAGCAATGTCTGGCACTTTGCAATGGAAGCTTCAAGAGCCCATGATCTACCATGGTTTTCTGCAGTGAGGTTGTAAAAGCAGGAGTCAAGAAGCTCCCATGAGGAGCAGAGCCTTCTTGCCAAACTATGATGGAAGGAAAATCGAGAAACAAGAAAAAGAAAGGATGAGTGGAAGAAGGGAAGACAGGAGACAACTTGTCTTAGGGCGAGGAGGATGTGCGAGTGTTGAGTAGGCAAAGGCATCGACTGCAGAAGATGTCTGTCGCTCTGCTTGTCTAGTGTCCATTTTTGCTTTTTTTGGTGACAAAACCCATGTGTGCCCATGTCATTGGGTAGTTCCACTTCTCCTTAACTCTGTAGAAAGGCTAATTCAGACCTGGGCAGTTGGAAAACCACACGCTTAGGCCTCAGTGGTTGGCAGCCCACCTCAGTTTATTGACTTGAATTAAGATTTCATGGGCAAGTGTTGGATGGGATAGTGACAGTAACCACACAATAATTTGGCATGCTCTGAATCTCTTAAATCATTCTCATGAACCTGAAGCCATGGAGACAATCTAGGAGTTTCTGAGAGGCTCAAGGGGATGGTGAGATACCAGTCTCCAATGACACAACTCAAACCTGTGTGGCTCCAGCCAAGCTTGGCTCTCCTGGACTCTTGACTTATAAGACCCAAAGAAAAGTAGCTGCACTACTGTGTCCAATTTGATTTGGGCACCTACCTTTTAAAATAAGTGTTGACTAGCAAGATAATTCTCTGCAGGCATGCAAGACAAGTTGACAGAGATATATGCCATGCTCAGAGCCCTAGCAGAGAAGACAGTAGATGGCTGTTGTATTAAAGTCACCACTTTCAAATGCTAATTCATCAACTGACAAGGACTTGTGCATTTTCTCCGACATTAAAAATGATCTTCATCTATAAGATTCATCTCTTTTGTTGAATTGTGACTTGAGAAACTTGGCAGGACCTCAGAGGCAAGATTCCTTGCTCCAGGGGAAGTATGAAGCATCCGTTAAGGAATATGGTTCCGCGGTTAAGAGCAATGACTGCTCTTCTACAGGACCCAGGTTCGATCCTCAGCACCTACATAGCAGCTCACACCTGTCTCTAACTCCAGGATCTGACACCCTCACAAGGACATACAAGCAGGCAAAACAACAATGCACATTTTTTTTTTTTTTTTTAAAAAGGAAAAGCTATCAGCTTGACATCCAAGCTTGTGTCAGTAGAGGGCGCCCTCTGGTTGAGAGAACAGCATGGAGCAAAGTCAGGAGAGGAAGGCAGACAGGAAGCCCCCGTAGGAAGAGCTGGAACCATAGCTATTTCTGACTCTGTGTACTCAATCCTGAGGACTTTCTTGTTCTATATCTAGTCCACACTCTTCCTTAGAACAACTGATTTTTGTGCCTGAACAAGCTTCTGTGGTTTCTAACTTATGGTTCAAGTCTGAGCTTGTGTCCTGGACTGTGACGCCGCTGATCCTCCTGAGGTTGCTGATGAAAGTGTGCCACTAAGGGCATGTTTGGAAGCAAGGGATAGAAATCGCTCCCAAAGAAGTTTAGATAAAGAGGCGATGCAATTTGTGTCTGTTATTGAGTTATGGAGGGACGAGTTAGGCCTTTGCCATCCCTGGATAGAAGACTTCATCCAGCATCCAGACTTGGATGTTCTCACTTTATCGTTTTCCGAGCCACTCCTCTCTCGGCCTTGTGTAAGATGGGTGTAGCAGCTTTGGGGCTCACACACCCTAAGGGAAAATAGTGTCCCCTCCTCAGGCCCTCCAAAGGTTTTCACATTACTGGTTCTAAATGGGACATATGTTTGTCTTGAATAGTCTCTATAGGCCGTGTAAGATGATAGAGTGTTCGGCGTTTGCCTAGTCACGCCCCTCTCCTCTGGGACCCTCCTAGAACACCTGGGTGGAGAGGAGAGGAACGGGTGACTAATATAGGTTGAGCAGCTGGAAGAGAGATTTCATATCAGACAGCTTAAGCAAGGAGAAGTTTCTACATCACCTGCAGGCAGGCAAGCAGCCTGGAAACCCAGGGTTTTTCCAGTTTGTTGGTTCAGTATCCCAGGTATCAGTTGTCTATGGGTTAAGACATTTCCTTAACATCTCCACTGCTCACTCAGTAGCAATAGAAAGAAAGGGCAGAGGGAAAGATTATCCTTCCTGGTTAAAGGAATTGGTTCTCTTCTCTTCAGATCCACTGTTCACTGACTTGGCCAATCATAGCATCTGGGAGAAAAATCTCTTTAAACACAGAAGATGAAGACAGCTTGGGAGTAATTAACAGTCTGTCCCTCAGGCCAGCCAAATGTCTGTGTGCACTCTCCTTCTATGGAGCATGCCCCATCCCTGAGAGAGACAACCCTGAAATCTCACCCGCAGCCACCCACAGCCAAGCCAGGCTGAGGAGAGCGCCGCCCCACCAGGCCCTCAGAGCGCCTGCCGACAGGGAGGGAGCTCCGGGCAGAACAGCTATGGATCATTCATTTCACAAACCACTGTTGGTAAGAACAGGATATGGGGATTGGAAGCTCCCATCCAGAAGGAAAGCGGGGGCTGTCACCTTGGTGAGCCAAAACTATGGATTCCCAGGGAGTGGAGCAGAACCCTTGGTGATGATTTCCTCCCTGGGATTTTTTTTTCCTTGGGAGTTGACTTCATCAATCTGTGGTTTTGTCTTTGCCCCATCCCCCATCTGAAGTGGGCATTGAACTGTGTTCACTTCGAGTTGCACAGCTTTTTGACCCTTTTCCTGTGAGTAAAGCCTTGGTGACAGTGGGCAGGGATGCTTAAGTGGACAGAAATACAGACTCTTCCTGGAGAAGCTCACATCCTTGGTAACATGTGTCCTTTAGAAGCTCAGCTGCCTTTCTGCCTGTTCCAGTGTTTTGCATGAGCAAGCAATGAGATTAAACTAGAAAACCATGGCTTCTTATCGATCATACTGGATAATCTATATATTCTATGTATGATGTCCTTAAGGTGGCATCAGCATGAATATTCATCTTGGTTTGGAAGGAACAGCCTTGGGCTGGCCTTGGCCGTTCAGCTGCTGTTATAGCCAGGCTCAGAAACCCTTAATCAAAGGGGCTGGAGAAAGGCACCTCCATACTTTACTAACACAACATCTTAGAACCTTCTGCTGTGTCTTCCTCAGTTTGTAGTACAACCTGGTTGGACTTATTCTCTCCCACCTCTGCCTCTGCACAGTGAGCTCTGTGTGTACAGTGTGTCCAGGCCTTTATAGAAGGGCAAGAGGTATAGTGCCCATGCTACAATCTGCTCCAAGAATTGGACGAAGGCCTAGAGATTGAAATAAGAGGCAAGACAGCGGGTCACTCGTTCAACAGCAAGAAAACAGGAAGAGTATCAATAACAACTCTGGGGCAAGATGTTCCAGCCAACAGCTTCAGGCTCGCTCAAGGTGCCTTGGGGGTCCATGCAGGGCCCTACAAAGAGGCATTTGGCAAAGGCCAACACTGTGAAGTTTCCAATCATCTCTTAGGCTAAAGGTGACTTCTTAAGCACTGTGGGGACTGGTACACCATGTACTGCGGCATGGCACCACAGGAGGGTTTAGCTATCTAGCCTGCCCCATACACCTACTTAGAAATGCTTTTTTTTTTTTTTTTTAAAGGTTTTGTCTTAGTTAGGATTTCTGTTGCTGTGATAAAACACCACGTGCAAAATCAACTTGGGTAAGAAAAGGTTTATTCAGCTTATGGTTCCACACCACAAGTCTATTACTGAGGAAATTCAGGGTAGAAACTCAAACAGGAGCTGATGCAGAGGCCATGAAGAGAAGCTGCTTACTGGCCTGTTCCTCCTGGCTTGTTCAGGATGCTCCCTTAGAGAACCCAGCACCACTTGTGCAGAGGTGACACTACCTGTAAGGGGCTGGGCCTTCCTGCATTAATTATCAGTCAAGAAAATGCACCACAGCCTTGCTCACAGGCCAATCTGATGGGGCATTTTCTCCACTGGAGTTCTTTCTCCAAATGACTCTAACTGTGTCAAATTGACCCAAGAACAGCCAGTATAAGCTTTGTACCTCTGTCAGGTATAGACTCTACATTTATTAAGATATAGGCTTTCCTTCTGGAAGACAGCCTCCATCCCAAATAGTGGCTGATATGGGGTAGAGGTCAACTTCTTTTTCATGTAAAATCCCATCACAAACAGTCTAGAGCTGATAGGCCACCACATTGTTGAGGCATTGACTCTGACATCTCCAGGGTCCTATCTTCCCTGGAATGGTGTAAATGAGCTTCACTTCATTGTGTTTGTGGCAGAGGGAAGGACACAGCACATTGCTTCTGAAGACCACAAGCAAGAAGCCACACACACTATTTCTGCTCACCTCTCATGGGGCAGAACACACCACTATAGCATGTTTCCTGGTGCCTGGGAAATGTGGTCAGTGTTCCCAATAGTGCTCTTGACTAGAGGAATTTCCATAGATAAGGAGCGAGTAGATGAGAGTTGGTCATCAGTATCTGTCTTAAATGAAATGGAGGGAATTTGGGGGGGGGGCTGGAACACATGACATTAGAACCTGTTCTTTGTGTGCCTTGACCCTTCTGTTTCCTGCCATTGCTGGGATGAGATTGTCCATTTGTGTGTCTGTCCTCAGTCTCTCTGAACTCCTCATAATGTAGGCCTTGGTGCAAAGGAACCTGTTAGTGAGTCCAGTCTGAGTTTCAAGCTCACAATCATTTGGGGCCCAGGAAAATGTAGAATTGAACTAAGGTGAAATAGGTATTCTTGGATAAATCCACCTATCCATCCATCCATCTGCCCAACACCAATGTATACTTGGAGACTTAATACCCGTTTATTTGTAGAGCTAATGGTTAAAGGAGTCTATTGCATTGTAGGGGTATTTTTGTTAGAAAGACAGACACTGTGTGACATAGCTGAAGCTTTCTCCTCTTCAACCATCGACGCAGTGGTACAATTCAACTCAGCATCCCTTCTAAAACTGCCACAGATACTGTGCACTGACCCACCCTCCAGCTGAAGAACTCTTTTCCTCTGCCCTGTACTTGTCAAATGGGGTCAGGAAGATCTTACTATGTGAGCTTTTTAGATTTCAAGATTTTTATATCATATTTTTAGGTTAGAGTTACCAAGAGGAAAGAGACTGAACTCCTCACTATAGTTGTAATATTTCTTCTTGCTCCTGTTACATTAACTCACTCTCAGCCTTTGCAGACTTTACACAGTGTTTCTATTCACATTCTCTCTCCCCACCCCCATCTGACTCCCTAGCTGTTGAACATGCTTGATTCAGCACAATGCACACTACCCTGTCTGCTTTTGACCACTCTACTTCCATTCCTCTTTTGTGGGGAAAACGTGTGTGTGTGTGTGTGTGTGTGTGTGTGTGTGTGTGTGTGTGTGTGTGTGTGTTCTCAGTGGGGCAATGGGGCTCTCAGAGAGGCATCCTTACAGAGGAGCTATGATGGTGAGTATTAATTGTTAACATGTCAGAGTCTGGAATCTCCTGGGAGCTGGGCCTCTGTGGATGCCTGTGAGAGATTATCTTGATTAAGCTAATTGATGTGAGAAGATCAATCTTAATTATAGATGGGACAGTTCCCTGCCTGGACTGAGTGAAATGGAGAAAGTGAGTTGAGTATTAGTATCCATTTATTGTGCTGTTTCTAGGTTCTGAACACACTATGACCGGCTGCTTCAAGCTCCCAGTGCCATGACTTCCTGCCATAGTGGACTATGTCCTAGAACTTGAGAGAGAATAACCCATTTCTCTTTCTCAAGCTGCTTTTATCAGAGTATTTTATCACAGCAACAGGAAAAGAAACTAAGATAGGAGCCGAGTGCTTCCTTTCAAGGCAGTGACAGGGTGTGGCATCAGGGACCATTGTGTCATCTGGCTCCTGTTTTGCAGAGACAAGCTGGCTCATCAATGTCAGCTTCCACTGGTGTGTCCTGCAGTCTCCCTTACACACTACCCTTAGCTTAGCTTAACTAGAATTAGTGTCTGACAACAAGGCGATATAAGCATATTAAAAATCAAACAATTGCAGGGCAGTGGTGGTGCATGCCTTTAATCCCAGCACTTGGGAGGCAGAGGCAGTCGGGTCTCTGTGAGTTTGACGCCAGCCTGGTCTACAGAGCTAGTACCAGGACAGCCAAGGCTACCCAGAGGAACCCTGTCTTGAAAAACAAACAAACAAAAAAGGATAAACAAATAAAATATCAAATAAGGGGAACAAAACCAACTGAAATAAAAACAGCTTCCTTGACCCCCATCTTTTTTTCCAGTGCCATCTATCTTCTTCTCTTTATGGTCAAGTTTTAGTTGGTTAGGAACATACCATGTCGGTGTCTCTTCTCCTAACTACTCCTCTACCCACTCCAGGAGTGTCTGCCTCCAGCACCTCTCTGGAAAATATGCTCTAGTGCCCCGAGTCACCCCAGTGTACCTGCTTTCTTCTCTCCTGAATAGTTCGCAGTCCTTGACACTTGGTCTCTCATGACTGGGGCCCTAAGCCCAGACTTCTCTCATTCATCTTTTTCATTGCAGATCTTACCCTCCTGTGTCTACAATGCTCAGATCTAAGAAACTCCTACTTCTCATCTACTGAGTGACAGCAACATCTCAATGTGCCTAGTATGAGCTTCTGAGGGTATTTGATGACTGCTCCCCTCAGCAAATGGCATTTGGCCCATATGGTTATCAAGCCAGATACACCTCTCCTTACCACGATGCTCTACAAAGTTCTATTCCTCTCCACTCCCAACAGCCCTAGCATGTACCTCCAGATCCCAGCACAGGAGGGGTATGGTAAATATGTGACCAATTGAGTGACAGCAGCAAGAACATTGCACAGAACACTTTCACAACTCCGGCCTCCCCACAGCCCATGAGAGAGATAGGGAGGTAATTACTATTGCTTATCTGAAGAAACTGATTCCCAGAGAGATGAACAGTCTTGCCTGGGTGTGGGATCACAAGATACATTAATATGTTGGGAGTTGGGAAGTTGGCTCTCCCTGGATCACTACTATAGTCAGGGCAGCCTCTTTGCCAAGTTATGGGACCAGTGAGCCAAGAGGCCAAGAGCAAGGTGATGATGTTCAGAGGTACTAGTGGCCAGACCATGCCTGTGTGTATGTAGTATGGCAGACATCTATTGACATCCTGGCAGACACCTATTGACATCCAAACCTGAACAGGGCAAGGTTTTTGTCAGGGTGTCCTGGTACCTAGGAGCCCAGGGCTTGGGGTCTGGTTCTCAGTGTAGCCACATATAATAACCTCATTACTTCTTGGGATTCAAGTGACTTCTCTGGAAAGGGAATGTGACTATGAGAAGAGTGATGATTTGGGGGAAGGACAAGCATTGGCTAGTGTCCCTGGCACAGAAATCTTTATATAGGCTCTTTGGGCAGGATCCCTCAGGCAGGCCGAGAGAAGTGGGGAAGCAAGAACCTAGCACCCCTACCTGTTCTTATGGTGCTCATCTATTCCAGGATGGCTGTCTTCCCAACTTGGGAGAATGCACTGAGGCCCTGGCAGAAAGGACTAGGGAAATCCAGGTCTTTCTAAGAAGATAGAAATCCCTCTAGCTGGTGCAGGCACAAAGATGGTGTTGGCTCTCCTTAGCGGTTTGGAAGGAGTATACACAATCCCAGGCAAGTTGGGGGTCCCCAGAGCTGCTGTCAACAAAGGAGGGTGACACTGGGACTCAGAAGAAGCCCAGGCTCCTCTTGCCATGAGGCCCTGGGTATCAGGGTACCAGGATTCCTTGAAGGTAGGTGGTCTAGGTCTGGCCGGATCTGGGTGGGGCAGCTTCCTGTTCTGTGTGTCTGGGGACAAAGAAGGAATGTTAAGGGGCTCCTAGGTCTCCCAAGAGACTCTGCATTCCCACAGTTTGTAGAGTTTTTAGGAAGGGACAAGGAAGGAAATATCAGGGCTTCAGAAAATTATAGGACAAGAATTCAGGTGAGGTCTGTTCCCCCCAGCCTCTCCCCCTCCCCCGAAGTTACTGTGTGTGTCAACTCTTGGCATCCCCGAGGCAGGTTGGTCCTGGAAGTGGATGGGGTGACAGGATATCAAGAATACTGACCTTGAAGGATAAGGCTGAGGATGCGGCGTTGGGAAAGGAGACTATAAAGTTGGGGTCCTGGGGCTGGGTAGGTGCTCTGAGGACTAGATTGGGATCATATCTCTGAAAGGCCTGAGGTCAAGCTTAGGCTTCTCCCTGAGGTGAGTGCATTGCTCAGAAGATAGTACTGTTGTATCCAGGCCTGATGAATCCCTAACCAGTAGCTGTAGAGCCACAAGGCCACAAGAGAGCAGAACCTGGGGGAAATGTCTATAGAGCAGGGTCTGAGGCCCAGAGACTTGTGAAAGGTAGGGTAGGATGAAAAAGGACCCGGGGACAGGTCCTTGAGGCAAGATTGTTGAGGGGTCAAAGCTCTAACAGAGTGAACCTGGGACCTGGAGGATTTGGAGGAGCTAGCCATGCTAGGTGGAACACGGAGAGGCTGGGACAGGATAATGGCGCCCTTTGTGGGTGGAAGATTAGAACACACCGGCCGGCCATGCTGAGAGGGCTGCAAAGATGGATGGTTCCACAGTGGGGAAACAGCCCTGAGGAGGGGTCCAGAAGGGAGCTGGGCGCTCTTGGGGGCGGGGCCTAGAGGAGTGGGCATGGGGCGGGGCCGAGACAGGGGGCGGGGCCCGGACGCTGTGGCAGTGGGGAGGCGGGGCGCGCCCAGGTGAGAGCGCTCCCACCCCCAGCGCCCCTGCATCGGGTACGGGTGGCAGCCTCCCTGTCTGTCCTTTAGCAGTGTGGGGTCAGTGCACCTCGGCGGGTCAGACCCGGTGCGGCTCCGGCTCCATCTTGGCGCCGGGCACCTGTGGCGGCAGCAGGAGCAGCGCTTCCGTCGGCCTGCGCGGCCCTGGCGGCGACAGGGTGAGAGGCCAGCCGCGGTGGGTGCTAGGGTGGGGTGGGCGGTGCCACCCCTTCCTGCAACCCTGAACCCACTTCTCACCGCTACCTGCGCAGCATTCCTCCGTACTATCGCTTCCCTTTGCCCTCTTGGGTCCTCTTTTTCCTTGTCCCTCTGCCCAGCCTCCTAGGTTTTTTTGTTTGTTTGTTTTTCTCTGCCCGAGACCTGGGTCTATGGGCCGTCATCCCGCCAATCTTTGCTTCTTTGCTCAGGGTTTCCTCCTCTCTTCCATCCGCATCCCCCACCCTGTCCTCTGTTGCCAACACCCCGCCCTCTTCTGCCAGCGAGCATCCCTACCCGCGATCTCACTGCCCAATGTCCTTTGAGCCATTGCCTTTGTCCTGGAAAGGTCTGTAGCCTAGTCCCGAGGCTTGTGTTGGGCCCTTCTCCCTAAGACCCCTGTGGGCTTTGCTTTGGAGGTGCGATGAAGGGAGTCCTAGCCAGGGAGGCTGCGTGGTGTGTGGTGCGTTCAGGCCTTTTGCCCGCAGCAGGGCGGCCTGTGTTTGGCATGCAGACTGCTGCTGTGTGTGTACCAATGCTCTTTCCTGCAGGCTCACCCTGCAAATCGGCCTGTGCCTTGACCTCTAAGGTGACATGTCCCCATACTGGGGTTCTGTGCTGGGGAGTGCAGGTAGGAGCACAGAGGCCATCTGGCCTGCTTTCATGCCGTGGCAGCTGACCCACTAGAAACACCTCTAAAGGAGTGGGCAGACCCCCACAGGGCTCAGATCATGCTCAGGCTTGGGGACATTTAGGGGTTTAGATCTCTCTATGGTGCTAGGGGTGGCATCTGGAAGGTTGCTGCCCTATGCTTACCCCAAAAATCCTTCCTGGCTTTCTTCTGTCTTTAGGGCAGCATGTCATCTCAGTGAGGCTAGAAGCCATGAGGGGCTAGTTTTGTGTCGTGTTCCCCAACTTTGGCCTGAGTGTTTCTGTTAGGCCCTTAGTTTGCTCTGGAATGGATCAAACCACACCCTTCTACACAAGGGATTTGAGGGATTTGTAGGGGGTATCCCTACCAGGTCCCTGAATAATTTCTGTATTTTAACACTATGGCCAGTCCTGGTGTTTCCTTCACCAACCCCTACCGGCCCCCGGCCCCTCTTCTTGACTTGCTTTTCCTTTTGTGGCCATCTGATCACCTGCTGCTTAAGAAGAGAGTACTTAAATGGATGACATGGCCCATAGGTACAGCCCAAAGGTCTGGGCTTCCCACTGGGGTAAGAATCGAACCCAGCAAAGTCACCAGGCTCAGGCTGTGCTAGTCTGAAAATTTGGAGAGGAAGGTGCTTATTCAACATGGCTTTGACTGCTTGTGCATGTGAGGGTGGTTGATTCTTTAGTTGTTGACAGTAGAACCTGAGGCAGCAGGACAGGTCAGCAGTGACCACGTGACACCAGCCACCTCCATTATGACTTATTGCTTTAAATGAGGCCAGAGAAAGAATAGCAAGGAAAAGCAATGTTACTCAACACTAATGCTCTTGGATAGCTCTGCCTTTTATGTTGGGCTAAAACATCTTCCCAGGGGAGTGTCTGTGTGTGGGTATGTACATGTGGGTATAGATCCTTTGGAGCTGGAGTTGCAGACAGTTAGTTGAGAGCTACCCAATGTGAGTGTTGGGAACCAACCTTAGGTCCCCTGCAAGAGGAGTATGTGCCATTAACCACTGAGCCATCTCTCCAGCCACATCCCAGGATCTCTCTTGGGTAAAACTAGAACCTGCCCACGACTGTAACAACTTTCTAGGCATGTGGCACCTATACCTCAGCCTGTGTATATGCATGGTCTACCTAGATGAAGGTTTAGAATAGGCCCTGGGAAACTAAGTGTTGTGATGGGGCACATGGGGAACCAGTAATGTCACCAGGCAGGATGAAGGTAGCCAGAAGTGGGAGATGAAGCTTCCTGTCGGGCATCTTTTTCGGTTTCCTAAAAGAGCATCATTGCTTCTAGGGATTTCCCAGTGCAGTTTCCTACAATGCTGTGATCTCAAGTCACCGACGATGGAGGAGAAAACGATGATCACCTCATGCCATTTTGTTCAGCCTTCACAGCAACCTCGTGGGGTAGGGCTTACTTTACAAGGGGGAGTTCACATACGTGTCACAGCGTGGGCTGAGTTGGGGCCTTGGTCATCTTCCTGGTCATGTCCCAAGGCCTAGATTCCTGGGCTAGGGCAAGTATTGGCACCTCTGGCCAAGTGGATCTCTTTGGATAAGCTGGCCTTGAAATTTCTGCCAAGCTTGGGTTTTTAATTCAAAATGCCATTGGTTGCTTGCTGCATGTGGTTGATACGCGGTTGAGGTTTTAAGTTGGCCATTTGAAGTTGTGGGTTCTTAGACATTTTTTAATTATTCTAAGATTGAGTGTTGTCTGCCACTTGCAGAGAGTTAGGATAAATGAGGTAACCAATAGACACATAGCTTCTCACTGGGCTCTCTGTGGTCACTGGTCTCTCTGGGGGATGGGCTGTGTCTGGGGAGGCAGGTACGAAAATCTCACTGCTGACGTCCTCCCAGTAGGTCTTGGTGGGGGGTTGGGATTTCCTTAGGGTTGTCTCAACTGTTTCCTCTGGGGGCCAAGGGGCTGCTCTTTACTGTTCTGTTCCCTAGAAGGAGAAAAAGAAGTGGATCTTACCCAGGTTGTGTAGATTCTTCTGATAGTGTTTCCTTGGAGCTCTTAGACCCCATGGTTGGGTGGTTGTCTCCCTGCCCACCAAGTACCACTTGGTGCCCACAAGAATTCCAGTCTGCAAGTGTTTTTCTTCCTGCCGTCCTTATCCCGTGCAGCCTAAGAATCAGGTGGAGTGGGTGGGTGGTGGCCGAGCTTTGCTCCCACTCATTTGTTCCTGTGGTGTGGCAGGAACACCATGGGGGGCGGTTACAGCAGCAGGGATAGGCACTGGAACCCCAGGTGTGTAGAGAACTGCACACTGATGAGAGGCCCCCATATACTCACGGGCTTCATTTGTCACGGAGCCACTGGCTTGCGCTGTGCCCTTGGTCTGGTCACTAAGCTTCTGAGCTGTGACCTCATTTGTAGAATGGGGATGATGAATTGCATCATGAGGTTGCTGTGACAGTGGAATGAGACAGTGTTTGCAAAGGCTATGGCCCAAGCCTGCAGCATTCAAAGCTGTGATTGCCATCGTTGAAGCAGCCATTAGCTTTAGTGCACTCTGTTTACTGGGTGTTAGCCTTCCTGAGGGCAGGCCTGGGCTAGGGTCCTTTCTTTGCCACCCATCCAGTCTGGCTTTGGGCACTGGGAACAGCTGGGATGGGACACACCCCTTACCGAATTGGCTGTGTTCAGTACGGCTTTGCCCAGTAGTGACCGTTAGCCACCCGTAGCCAATTGTTTAAATTATTTATCAGAAATCCAGCATCTTGGTCCCAGTATTTGCCTGACAGGTGCTTAGGTGTCACATGTGATTAGTGCCCACTACACTGGACAGAGCGAAGTTTAGCCTTTCTATCGCAACAGGCTGTTGTACTGGACTAGACTCTGCACTGAGGCTTCAAGACTCCCCATACTGTCCTGAACTCGAGACAGGGAGAGAGTTCTTGAAGCAGAAGCTGAGGCCATTCCATTCTGGGTGGCCTTGCTCACCTGGCAGGGTGGTTGGTTTCCTGTCAGTCTTTATCAATCTAAGGTGGCAGGGAGGGTTGGGATTGCCTAAACCCAAAACGTGGCCTCCTGTGTCTGCCCTGCCTCTCTAGACCATCCCTCCTGATCCTCTGCATTTGATGAAAGCTGGCTGGCCCACTGTCCCTGCCCGTGTCCCAACCTACCTGCACTTTCCTGTGCCACCTGACTATCTGTTCCTTCTGCCTCAGGAAATGGCTGCGAATGAATGAACAAATGGAGTGAGGACTGGCACTAAGGGCTGCTTGCAATGCCTCCCTTTCCTAGGGGGAGGGTGAGAGTCAGGAACCTGTTTCCCTTCACCTCTGACAAGACAGTTCAGTAGGTCAGGCTGGAGAGGATGGGAGGAGGGCATGAGGAGAACCAGAGAAACTCTCAGCAAATCCAGAATCCATTGCTTCCTTATCCCACAAACCTTCTCCGAGGTCCCACTCTGTACCCAGGAGGCCCCAGTCCTTATGCAAGTGGATGGATGCTGCCAGTCCCAGGAGCACTCGGAAGTGCTGGCTGTTAAATCTGCAAACTTTCTGTGTCAGTTGGCTGAGAGCAGTTTTCCCAAAGCCCCCTGATGATGCCACTTGTCCACTCTTAGGACCCCAGCTTACTTGGCCTTCCCCCTGTGTTCCCCCACACCGACTGCCCCTCCCACACCTATCTCGTGTGAATGATAAAAATCTGGCATGGTGGTGGTCTCCAGGGCCCTTTTCAGGAGTAATGGTTGTCAGGTATTTGCAGCGTCATCTATGCATCATACAGCAAGCCTTGATTGGAAGTATTCTGGTGTGTGTCTTGCCACTGATATCCTCATGGCTGTGATCAGTCAGGCAGGATGGGACTGGAGCTGCTCCCTCCATGTACTGGGCACAGTGTAAGCTCACAAAAGAATACAGCTGAGATGCCAACACTCATCCGGGCTTCACTCACTTCCTTCCTTTCTTTTTTCTTTTTTTCCTTCTTCTTGTAGGCAACCATGAGTTCTAGCCACCCTGAACCAGGTGCCCGGGAATGCCAGAGTCCACGCCCACAGCCCCTGTCCCAGAGTTCTTCTAGCTTGCTGTATGAAGGCCGGGAGCAGAGGCCAGAGCTGCGCAAGAGAGCCAGCAGCACTGTGTGGCAGGCACAGCCGGGTGAGGCCAGCACTAGTCCCCGGACTCTGGAGGAAGAGGGCTGCCAGACTGAGGGCTTGGAACAAGGACAGACCTCGAGTCCACGGCCACAGGCTGGTGCTGGAGGTCACTGGAGAAGCAGCACTGTTGGCAATGTGTCTGTCGTGGGCATCGGTGACCTGTGTCGCCTACGGGCCCCCAGTGTGGCAGCTGTGCAGAGGAGCCACTCAGACTTGGTCCATAGTACCCAGCCCCGGGGTCATGGTGGTGCTCAGAAGGCCAGCCTCAGCTGTTCTGCCCTTGGCAGCTCACCTGTCCTGAGGGCTCAGCTGCAGCCTGGAAGCGGGCAAGATGGCCAGACCCCTGCAGTCCTGCGAAGTGACCTGGCTCCAGAGGATGGGATTTCTAAATCAGCCTGCATGCTGGGGCAGAGTCAGGTGTTGGTGCCAACTGTAGAACTGGAAGGTACGGCTGGTCTCATCAGCAGTCCTCAGGGCGGACCCAAAGCTACTGGACAACCATCTACCACTTCCTGCCATGCTCTGCCCCCAGAAGCTCTGCTCTGCACCATGAGGGAGGCTGCACCTGGTGGCTGCTGCCATGCTCTTCCTGCAGCAGGCATCCTGGCCTTTCCCAAATTGGTGGCATCAGTGAGTGAGTCTGGGTTGCAGGCTCAGTGTGGGATGAAATTCCACTGTAAGTTGCCTGGAGGGATTTCTGGGTACCCTCACTGCTGTGTTCACCCTTGGGGACCTACGGGGCTGGCCACAGACCCTGGCTCCAGGACCAAAGATGTGTGGACCATGACCTCAGCCACTGACTTGGCCTTGGGTGTGGCATCAGCCCAGGATGCTGGGGTTCAGGTAGCCCCAGTGGCAGCCTGCAAGGCTGTGGCTACAAGCCCATCCCTGGAAGCACCTGAGAGTCTGAACATTTTCCCAGAGGTAATGCTGGGATCCCACCTGGAACAGCCATCATCACCCGTGAGGGATGTGCGATGGGATGCTGAGGGCATGACATGGGAGGTGTATGGAGCCTCAGTGGACCCCGAGGTGCTCGGCATTGCCATCCAGAAGCACCTGGAGATGCAGTTTGAGCAGCTGCAGCAGGCTCCAGTCAGTGAGGACAGCCTATCTACAGAAGGCCGACGGGGCCCTCTGCGGGCTGTCATGCAGTCGCTGAGGCGCCCCAGCTGCTGTGGCTGCTCTGGAGCGGCTCCAGAATGAGGAATCGTGTGACCCCCGAGGCTGGCCTTGACTCTGGACTCCATCCTAGGCCAGTGACAGTCACAGGGGAGACTCTGTATCACCAGAACCCACCCTCTCACTTGAACATCAGCCTTAGGCTTGCGGTTCTGCCTAGCTAGGCTGTCTTTTAAGGGCTTGATCCCTAAGAGCCATTTCTCCATTCTGGGCTCTGGACTTTGGGGCAGGGATTTTGCTTTGCACATCAGCAAAGTCCTGATTTCTTTCCTGCAAAAGTACTTAACCTTTTGTTTGGTCTGTCCGCAGAACTTTGCTGTTACTCCCCCGGGACTCTTGGTGGTTTTATTTTTAATAGCGCTGCTAGGAAATAATGAATTTTTACATTGCACAGGACACTTATGTGGCAGGGATTGCCCTGGTCCCTAGAGAACCGATAGTGCTAGAGGTCTTCTGCCTGCCATCTACTGTGCTCGTCACCTACCTTGTTGGGCTTTTCACCTCTTCACCCCTCTTTTCAGATGTCACAGAGGAAGTCTGGCAAAGATCTAGCTGATGAGCTCTGAGGTAGACAGAGCCCTTAGAGCTAGGGCCAGCTGAGCCCTGGTGCTGGTCTGAGACATACACCCCGGCCAGCTCAGTGTGGGTGGGGACAGGAAGGACTAATTGAGTGCACATTCTCTGCCAGATTCTGGGGGCCTGTGAGGAATGAGACACAGTCACTGCCCATGGAGTGCAGGGACCAGAGCATCACAAAAGGGCTGTGTGTATCTTGGAGGGGGGGTTCCCAAAGCCTGCCCCTGCAGGTTCTCTGTATCAGGGTCCCTGACTCAGGAGGTGGTGACCTGTCCCCAAATGTGTTTCAGTGCTTGAAAGGGAGTTTTCCTCACTCCACTCCATTGGCTTTCATCCTGGCTGGTGTCTGGGAGGCCTGGGCTTGGGGTTCTCACCAGGTAAGAAATGGCTAGAGCTGAGAGACTCTGAAGATCAGGGTTAGAAATGGCCTAACATGGGCTGCACAGTGGCGGCCAGTAGATTTGGGTGGGGAGAGAGGACACGGGGCCTTAACTGCTTGATTTTATTACCCAAGGGCTTCTCAAGGCCCAGGAGGAATGGAGTAGTCTGTTGAAGATCCTAGGCTCCTGGGATAGAGCCCTTCAGGTCATATGTGTGAGATAGCTCCAGACATAGGTAGACTCAGAGTCTCAGATTTGGCCATGCTCCCATTGGATTGAAGCTTGAATAAGTTATACAAGGGAAGCTGAAGTTACTCCTGGGACCCCAGGGCCCGAAAGATGGCTTATCTGCCCCATCTGCAAGGTCCTGGTGCTCACTGGAGTAGGGAAACTTTGCAACATGGTTTATGGTTTGGAGCATGAATAGCATGTCAGTGGGTCAAACAAGGCAAGAGAGTCTGGCTTCCTAGGCGAGAAGTCTCATAATAGGCAGTCTTACTGTTACTATGCCTTTCCCAGAGAGCAAGCATACCGTCTAGAAAAAAGTTCTGGGAATGTGTGAATATTTGTGTGATGCAAGACAAGTACTTCATGCTCTGGGGTATGGCATGTAGACATCTTGTCTCCTTCATTCATAGGTACCAGCAGCCCAGCATTGGTGCCTGAAGGAGAGTAAGCAGATAGATTTGGAGACATTGGGCAATGCCACTTTCACACAGGGCCATTGAGAAAGCTATCAACACAGAGGGCCTGGGCAGGTGGGTGGGGACAACTTGGAGATATTCATTCTGCTGAAATACATTGAGCCACTGTGTGTTCATCAGCTTGGAGGCTGACTTGGGTGCCTGCGCCAAGCATTATGGGATCTACAGAATGCGGGGGAAGAATCCCATACCCATATGTACAGTCTGTTCCGTGAGAAGAAGTCAAGGGGGCTGAGATCCTTTCATTTGGGGCAGGAGGACAGTGAGGCCACTCTCTGGGACAAGTGAGGGTGGGTGGGCAGGCCCCGGAGGTCTACATGAAGGGAAACATAGCACAGGGGTTTCTTAGTGACTGAACAAAGACCTTCTCCCCTGCCACATGCAGATCTCAAGTTTATTGTTGGGCAGATTGTGCCAACCTGCAATTCCCATGCTTTGCCTGGTACCCAGATGAAAGCCAGGGTGGCCTCACTGTGGTCAGGACAGACCAGCCAGTCATCCACTTAGCTTCATCCTGACTGGTAAGCATCTGTATGATGGTGCTAGAACCCAACCCATCCCGTGTGTTGGCTGGAAACCCTGGGACACCACTAGCTCAGCTGTACAGCCCCTGTTCTCAGGTCTGCCCATGGCATCTATTGACTTAATTTCTGAACTGGATCCATTCCTACTCTCTTATAGGCCCCCTCCTAGGTAAGGCCTCATTTGGGTCCTGAACCAGGTGGGGCCTATTGAACATGGTCACTGACTTTCCTTATAGACTTTTGCTCTTGGACTCTTGATTTCTGGCTGGGCATTTGAGATTCCTTTTGGAGGTGGCAGATCTCACTGTCTATGTTTGTCTAATTTTGAATTAAAAATAAACACAAGTTGAGAGATCAGAGCTTTGCCAGGCCTTGGCAGAACTGGAGCATTGGGCATGGCTACTCTTGTTCTCTTTGTTCTGCTAAATTCTGTCCTCTGAGGCATAAACCCTAGAATTCAAGGTCTCTGTGTTCTGGTAGCCTTACTCCCTTTGCCTTCAGGGGTCACCCTGTCCTGTCTATTTGTTCTCTTTCTGTGGCACCTGGGGTCTTGGACAGCTGAAGTCTGCCATGTTGGGGCTTACCACCCCCGGGACTGCCTTCCTGTGGGTAACACACAAGGAGTACAGGCCTTGTCACTCTCTTAGGGAACCACTTCAAATGTAGGCTCCTTGCCTGCTGGTGGTCACAGTGCTGGGAGGGTGGGACGTGACTGTGATGTCACCTGTTCCAGGCTCTGTCCCCTGATGTTAGATCATTATTTGACAGTTGCTGAAGTGGGCCTACCCCATGTAGGTTCTAATGATTTGGGATTGAGGTGGGCCACCATAGCCTAGGGGTCTAGAGCTGGGAACTGGATTCACATTGATGTTCATAAAACACTAGCCCTGAAGACTGAAACTTCTTTAGCTCTAAAACGGAGTGGTAGCAGTACTTCATTTAGTTTATGGGAATGCAGTTGCATTATCCATGCAAAGCACCTGGCTTCACTTAGTGCTGGGCTCACATGCTGGTGTTGCTCAGTGTTTTATGGCTGCAGGATGGGGCTAGTAGTAGCCCTTTGCTGCTGGCTTGTCCAGCTGGTCCGGTAGTACGCATCCCATTCCCTACACATTCTTCCTTCAAAGTCTGGGTTCTTCACCCACAGTTTTGTGCCCTGCATAGGACACGTGCCTTCTGGCTGGGAGCCTCTGAAGTCGGTTCCTAGAGTTACATGGAGGAGGAGATCCCTCCCTACTAGTCTGTGGAGGTGAGAATAGGTAGGGAAGGACAGACTCCAAGCAAGGATGTGACTTGAGGCCAGTCTAGACCCACAACGGAGCTCTGGGTCTCCTAGTAGACCCCAGGTGCTTTAGCTTTTGGGTATGCAGGCTGGGAAGCTTTAAGAGCCTTGAGATGGCCCTCTGTCCTATGGTTTGTCCCAAAGGGAATGGTGTATACCTGCAGGCAGGTACATTTGTGCCTGCATCTGCCCATCACCCAGTACAGACAGCCAGCCTGTGGTCCACCTGCTGCCCAGGTCTTTCCTCTGGATGCTATGTAAAAGCAATTTTGTTGCACTGCTGGACTTGCCAGGTGACCTTGATTAGAGGTGAGGCTTGGCGACTGTCCACGTTGAATTCTTTCTCATTCGTCATTTTGGCCTGGCCCAGTTTTGTAGTCTGAAGCTGTGACTAGTTCTTTATGAGTTCCCATCCAACTTGTCAAGCAGGGTTGGGCCACAGTGGAGTGTGGAGTGTGGCCCTGGGTTACTCTATTGTCTTTATGATCTCCAGCGCCCCCCCCCCACAATCCACACGGATATCATGGGAGCAAATCTGTTAAAATCAGCATCACCTAAATCCAGTCCCAGGACCATCTCCTTCAACAAAGGAGGCGGGTGGACTAAGAGGGGACTCAGCCTGCAGGGCTGCCTTGTTCTTCCACGTTGCCTGCTACTGTTTGACACACTATTTGAGATCAGGAGGCTAAGACTTAAACTGTCTTCTTGTCCTTTGAGGAACACCCTCAGCCTTGTCATACTACCTGCGTAGCTTTAAAGCTGTTCCTAGCACATGGGGCTTAACCTGCTAGTTTCCTGGAAGTTGACTTTGAGGGTCAGCAAGGGGCCTCTTTAATATACGTTCTTTAGAAACCTCGTTGAACCCTACAGTTTGCTCTCCTGTTTTGGAGTCCCTAGAAGGACCTGGGGACCACGTTGACCTGTAGGATTGGAAGAACACAGGATTTGTGCTGGGGCTGTAGTCACAGAGATGTGAGAGCACCTGGGAACAGTAAAACTGTTTAAAAAAAAAAAATCCAAGCCAAACCAATGTTGCACAGGCAGATTGGATTGGGGCAGACGGGCTGTGTCTGACTCTTCCTATAAGAGCTGGGTGCATGTCACCTTTGCTGTCCTTGAACAGTGACCCTGCAGGATTCATGCTGAGTCATGGGCCATCCTCCCCCTCCTGGCCAGCCAGAGACAGTGCAGCAAGGAGGCAGGTCGGGGTCCTGCAACATGAGCTCTTCTGTGGCCTCACTTTGGTAGGAGGGAATGTGAGTTGGGGGATTGAAGCTTAGGTTATGAAGTGTGTTCAGTTTTAAAGGTACCCAGAGACTTGCCTAGTCTGTCTTGGCCCGGGACTTTCCATTTCATAGCATCTTTATGGGGAAAACAAAAACAAAAAAAAAAAAAAAAACTTAAAAAAAACTTAGGGTGCTTGTTTGCATCAGCTCTGTGCAGCCAAGGGCAAGCTGGCCTTCTGCCCTCCCCCTACGTGTCCGTTCTCCAGTATCTCTTCCCCTTTTCTGTCTCAATTGCTCTTGTCCCTAGACCACTTTGTCTCTCCCCTGACCTAACATCCTTACCGCTTGAGCCTCCTTCAGTTTATGTCAGGGGTCTGACTTGCCTTGGCTCTATCATCCCTAACCTCAGTTTTTCTTTTCCTGTGGTCGGTAGCATTTCCCTGAGGCCATGGCTGGCTCTGGGTCTCAGTGTCTTTGATTTTTGGGGGGCCTAAGCCCTTACCCTCCACCTATTTTGTTTCTTCTTGGACACACACTAAAGGATTGAGTTTACAAAAAAACAAAAACAAAAACGGTTTCTGAGCAGATCCTTAGACAGGGAGGCCTCACTAAGGTCTCTGTGCTGGGTTTCCTTTGCTTTGAGCCATTGAAGTGGTCCTCCTGGATGAAGTCAAGGACTCAAGCCCGACTAGAAGGGCATCTCCTGAGTTGTGCGCTTGGTGGGCACACTTTCTGGCACAAGGCTATCTCTTCTTTCACATGTTCAGAATCTTGCTCAGCTTGTGCTTAGGTTTGGGTGTGGTTTGAGCCTCCTGGGGGTGGGGTGAGGTGGGGTGGGCATAGCCTCCTGGGGGTGGGGTGAGGTGGGGTGGGCATAGCCTCCTGGGGGTGGGGTGAGGTGGGGTGGGCATAGCGACCCTGTCCTACCCTTATGTCTTTCCTGTGTAGAACTAGGCTCATGCTCAGGAAGTCGAGTCTAGAGACTAGGTGAGAAGATTTCTGACTTGGACACCATCTGCCTACCTCTCCCTTCTAGGCTTGAGTGTGGCGGAAGCAAGGAGGCTCCCTGGGATC